ACAGCTCTTAATACATGAGTGGCGCTTGTTTTGTTCACGCAACTTCTATCTTACGAACGCGTTCATATCTTAAAACCAAAAGTAAGTTTAGTGTAGCTGATTTGTTATTCAAAATGAACAATAACCACAAGCCATTATTAAAAACTGATTCTGAATATCCACTGTCTTATTACGCTAGTATTGGTCCGTTAGTTAGACCGAGACCTCACGAAAAAACGAAACCGGATACGACTAGCGAAGATTCTTCGTCGGAAGTTGAAGTCCGATCCAAACCGAAACCTCGAACTCATGACGATCAGTCTATAATCGAGGAGCTGCAACGTGAATTAAAAGTATGGAGAGACCAATCTCACAAGCACATGCGTCTATATATGGAGGCGAAGGATTTTGAAACTCAAAACAAACTTCTGAAAGTTGAGCTCGAAAAAATTCGAAGCGTCAATTTTGTCCTTGAGCAACATAACGAAAGTCTGCGTGAAGATACTAAACGTGCTCAAATTGAAAGCGATAATTTAGTCCGTGAGAAGGAGCGTGAACGGTATGAACACGAAATAGAAATTTCGAGAGCAGGAAATGAAAAGTGTGAACTTGTTGAGCAAGTTGCGACCTTGAAACAGGAACTAAAAGAAGCGAATGACTTCATAGCTCATCTACAGCAGAAAGTGTCGGATTCCCAGAAGGAGTTAGACAGAGTGAATTATCAAGTTAGCGAAATTAAAAGCTCAAATTACGCGGTGAAGAAAATACAACAAGAACTAGATCGCATGGAATTCGATCTGGACAGCAAGTACAAGTCAAAGCTACGTCAGTTGCATAAAGACGAAGCTTGTAAAAGTGAAAAATTAAATGGGAGAAACGAAGACAAAGTGTCGTCTAGTAAGAATGAAGTTGGTGAAGGCAAAAAGTCAAGCAGAAAGGGAAGAAGATCTCGAAACAGGTTGGATGACGAGGAATTGGACTCGTATTTAGTGGAAAGTATCGTGGCAGATACCGTAGACTCGATTGAAAATCGATTTTTGTCGTTTTATAAATAAACAAGTTTGATAAATTCGTTTAATCCTAACTATAAATTCTTTAAAAAATCTATGCGGAGAGTTGGTTTCTTTTATTACGTTGCAACAGCTGTTTCTTTTGAACATTTAATTTTAAATCCTTATCTTAATTTGTTCAAATTCTATTGGCAAAAATTAGCATGAATGAAGTTATTTGTTACTTATAAACTTCAACAAATGAGCCGACAAAAATTACATTACCGGTATTTGGGCGCGGAATCCATGGAAAGTTTGTAAGTGGAATTCACTTGCAGTTTATAACATGTTTTAAGATTTGTCTCTGGATTCCAGTGACCTGTACACACCAAACGGTGCTTATTATGGCCTTGTAATGGAGAAAATCAAGCTCAAAAATTTGTTCCGGCTTAAATTTACTTTTTCGCGGCTTGACTCTACAATTTTTTTTATGTTTATTTCACTGTTAAAAGGAATGCTAACTCCACTGTTGAACAGCAAAAGTGTAAAGGTCAATAAACACGTAATTGAATTCTAGTTTCAAAAGTGGAATTTAATTTTCAGATTTCCCATTGGAATGAAAACTCTACCTATTCAACCATTTTTCTCAAATTGAGTTCATTTTATCAAAAAAGTGTCAATCTTAAATTGCTCTAGAAATTAAAAAATTTTTTAGGCCATCTATTTTTTCTTTGAAGTTCGGCGTTTGAAGTTTTCTTCGCAAAACAAGTCTGTGAAAATAGTTTGAAATATGTTTACTCGTGAAACAGCCAGTTGTTAGTTCATAGTGAGGTTGAAATGGCTTCTTATTGTAAAAGTCTGAAACGCTTTAGCAGCTGCATTCACAATACCGATGATGTCCTAAAATGAACCCAATCTACCTATTCAACCATTTTTCTCCAATTGGGTTCGTTTTATCAAAAAAGTGTCAATGATAAATGGCTCTAGAAATAAAAAAAAATGTTTAGGCCATCTATTTTTTCTTTGAAGTTCGGCGTTTGAAGTTTTGCTTTGCAAAACAAGTCTGTGAAAATAGTTTGAAATTTGTTTACTCGTGAAACAGCCAGTTGTTAGTTCATAGTGAGGTTGAAATGGCTTCTTATTGTAAAAGTCTGAAACGCTTTAGCAGCTGCATTGACAATGCCGATGATGTCCTAAAGTTTGTTAACCAAAGATTACAAGGCGACTTCGTTGCTAAAACACAGGTTTTTGGAAACTTGAACCTAAATGTCAAGTTTTAATTTCGGGTAATTTTTTTTTCTAGTAGTGTTTCGCATCTTGTTGTCGCGGGGTTAAAAACCTGTTCTTGTTATGTTTTTTAATTCTGTTAAAGGGGTAGGGCGACAATTCGTAACTGGCGACAATTCGTAAGGCTTTAGCAAGTAGAATACGCTTGCTCCGCTGCGCTTACATCCGGCGCGAGTGGAATACTGCGCGTGAATCAGTATATTTTCCACTTAATCTACTGTTAAGAATTGTCGCCTCACGTTTAGAAGGATTTATTCGGTAACTTATATACCAGCATCAATATTCCGGGGCATGTATGAGGGTTAAAGACGTCAACAATTTCGCCTGATTTAGAATGACGTGTGTTTTTGACAGGGCGATTTTATTAAACTGATTCATGAAAATCAAAGTGCTTCATGAACATCAAAAATTATTCTACCTTTTTCAAATAATCAATATTTTACACGATTTTTAGCCTAATCAACCTTAAACTTGTAAAATATACTTTTCTTAGTAATTTTGAAGTTTTATTGAGGATGCAGTTTAAGGGTAAATGTTCCTTGAGCGGCGTTTCAAGTTCATTTTAGTGTTGTTTTTTTTTATGGTCACCCTTTTTGCGGAATTGTGAACGGGTCGAATTCGTTAGAAATTGTCCTCTCTTTCCAAGACAATTGATATGATAAAAATGAGATGGGACCTTTTAATCTTTTCGATTTCCTCGCAGGTAGTTAACCTGAGTAAAGCGGTGTGGGCTTTGATTGTAACAGTTGTTTTCGGAAGTACCCTACATTTCTTGAGTTTTTGACCTGAATGTGATATGTTTTCCTTCAATCGACTTGAATTGTTTGACGTTTTTGCTAGATCCAACTGCATGCTTGATTTTTTTGAATCAGTTGAAAACATGGTCGTTTGACTTGAACAAAGAAACTCAAGTTTATCGGAAGAAATTGAAACAGATTGGTCTGTTTTCTGAGTTCGTCGTGCCATTTTGGGATAGAAAGGAAGATAAATTGATTAGAACAGCGGTGTGTATTTTTAGAATCGTTTTTCAAATCTTCAGCTCGTTAGTCTTGAATTTTTCTTTGTTCGGTTTTAATCACCAGTTTGTATTGAAATTCCAGAAAGTGTTTATCGATATAATTATGTCCGAGTTCTTTATATCGAAAGATGACGATATATTTTATTTTTGAAGTTGTTCGTCATCTGAAAAATACAATAGTTGAAATTGGTTCACAGTTCAAGGAATTTCGATCATTCGAAATTTATTTTTTAATGTTTTTTCTTCAAAATTGGTTATTGTTAGTATTTGTCTGTACAAATAATATAGTGTATTAACAAAAAAAGGTCGAGGCTACACTGACAGATATGAATAGATAGGAAAAGATTCCATTAAAAAACGGTCTGTAAAGCAGTTAGAAGTAATAATTGTATTAAGTTATTGTGGTTGTACTTGCCATACGACCACGTTAACATTTGATCAAAGGATATTAAAGGGGGGATTTTAATTTGGTTCTAATTTAGAATTTTTAGCCACTCTATATTGAGCATGTTATACGCAGTGTTAATTAATTTAATTCCAAGTTAGATTAGTTGGGTGGAGGGTTATAACATGGTCAACTTAGTTAAGGCTGCTGCGCTTATAATTGATCCCGTGTCTGTACCCGGAAGTCATTTGGTAAATATTCCTATTACGGTTTCGTTTTTGCGCCTTTTTTACATGTTTTCGTTATCTGCTCAAACAGATGTTTCGAAGGTCGGATGTTCGAGGCCCACCATGATCCGCACTCGTTGCTTGAGGGTGGAGCAACATTACCCAGTCCAGAAAAATAGCCAAACAATGGCATGTATATCTTAACCTGGGCATAACAGCGGTTCTCTGCCAAGAGCTGAACAGCTCGTGTTTTGGTGCTTTCATTTGTGGATAAATTGTCTAAAACAACTGAAGTTTCTTGGAGAGGCACTCAACCTGTTCATTCTGTCGCTTTATTGTGGCACATGTGAAGGTCACAGTGCATAAGTCAAAGGATTTCAAGTCAGAACAATCATCCGATTTGTGAAACATTCGATATGTCAAATATCAGATATCAGAAACTGTAGCAAACATCCGAACTTAACTTAATAGTTACGTAATAATGTGAAAGTGTCTGATATTTGCCCCATTAGCTGTTATCCAGATACTGGTAACAGGTTTTGGATGATTGACAAAGCGCGTGTACAATTTTTGACAAAAATGCATTGATTTTCAGAGACACAAGTAAACGTATCTGAAGCTGAAATATCTTGTCTTCTTAATGTCTTGTCGCTTTAATGGCCTGTCGTCTTATTTACCCACATCATTATGACAGTCTAGAGTTTGGTTGACAGAATGGTTGCATTAGTAGTCTAGGAGTTGAGTGCATGTCTGAACAAGTACATGTATTATCAGATGCTTGGCGTCTTCGTTCTATAAATAGAGTTTTTGTTGGTATGATTGTTCCAAAAGTCGATGAAAATCAATGGAGTTGAGAAGTTGAAATATTGTTGGTAATTTAAAATGCAATAGCTTCCATTTTTGAATATATTGGCGGTAAAGTCTTAATTGAAATGTCGATTATTTGTCTTATATCACAAATACTTCTGGATTTAGCCTAAATTATAGTCTTTATCAGTTTGGTAAATAATTATAAGAGATAGTTTAAAAGGTTTTTATCAATTAGCGCCTGATTAGTTAAGTGACTCGTGATAATTGAGGCGGAAAAATGAACTCAAATGATTATTTTCAGATTTAATGATTTGTTCTGAGAACATTTTCATCAAATTGAATAACGACCAGCAGTTAGGAAAAAGCCTTTGCGGACTAAATGAAACTTCAAGATTTCGATTGAAGCCAAGTTCAACTTCTAAAAACTCAATTAAACTAAACGAGAACAGGAGAGAAAAGAGAGTGTAGACTTGATAACATAACTAATCAAACGAGCTCTAAGCTTAATTGAGACAATTTTTGTTCCAATTTCGTGCCTTGAAGTCATTTGAATATTCGATCAAAAATGACTTCGCCGCCCCTCACACCTTCGAATGCGACAGATTTATTCCACCTCGAAATCCAGGAGGAAAACCCGCTTAGTTTAAACGGGAACCTGGACGACTCGGATAACGAGATGGTTCCCGAGTACATGAACTCAACCGAGGCGGAAGGTGACACGAAGCAAACAGAAACAGTGGACATAGCGGACGAAATGTCAAATAGTGGTGCCGAGAAAGTCAGTCCGGACCATTTTGACCTGTTGAAGGTCCTCGGGAAAGGTGGCTACGGAAAAGTGTTCCAGGTAAAGAAGAGCAAAGGCCACAACAAGGGTCAAATTTACGCGATGAAAGTGCTGAAGAAAGCGACGATCACGCGCAACGCAAAAGATATCACGCATACTAAAGCGGAGAGGAACATTCTAGAATGCGTGAAGCACAATTTCATTGTGGACTTAATTTACGCCTTCCAAACCCAGAACAAATTGTACCTCATCTTGGAGTATCTAGGGGGAGGAGAGTTGTTCATGCTCCTGGACAAGGAAGGTATATTCATGGAAGATACAGCTTCCTTCTACTTGGGAGAAATTACTCTAGCTTTAGAGCATTTGCACAGCAACGGGATCATATACAGGGATCTGAAACCAGAGAACATTCTACTGAACAAGGCTGGACATATTAAACTGACAGATTTCGGACTCTGTAAGGAGTCTCTTGAAGAAGGAAGTGTGACCCACACATTCTGTGGAACGATAGAGTACATGGCGCCTGAAATCTTGACCAGAAGTGGTCATGACAAAGCTGTGGACTGGTGGTCCCTTGGTGCTCTTATGTACGACATGCTCACTGGCGGACCTCCATTCACCGCCGACAGTCGCAAAAAGACGATTGAGAAAATTCTGAAAGGGAAGTTGTCGTTCCAACCGTTCCTGAGTGCTCACGCGAAAGATCTTTTGAAGAGATTGCTGAGGAGAAATGCTGCCCAGAGGTGGGGAACTGGAACGGCCGATGGAGCCCAGATCAAATCACACGCTTTCTTCAGACAGATCGACTGGAATGCCTTACTGAATTTCCAAGTGCCTCCCCCGTTCGAACCGGCAATCACACACGATGAAGATACAAGTAAGTCGATTATTTACCTCACCTGAAATTAGAAGTTGTAGTTTCTTAAAACTTCATGAATTATATATGCATTTTAATGATTTTACAAAAGTGAAAACAGTTTTTTTTCTTGGCTTGATATACAATTGAAAGGCATGAAGTACAAGAATTTTTTTCTTTCGTGATAGAACGCTTCAAAAAATTAAAATGAAACAGTCCTTTGTTATTCACATGGCTTAAATTTCCAACTGTTTTTTATTGCACCATGTTGTGGTTAGTAAACAATCATAAAATTTATTTTTATGAGCAATTCATTAAAACTACAAAAACGTCAACTGTCGAATTCATGTGAAATGCCAGGAATTTAGACTAGTCTCTAATATTTGTTTGATTTGTTTATTAAGAGTCAAATAAATAAGTAAAGACTGTTATATAGGTCTTGATATTTTTTTCAGTAAAAATTTTGTTCACAAGTTGAAGTCGGTATTTTTGGGCTCCCCCCACTTCACTTAAAAAAGCATCAAATTTATGGTGTAACGAGTGGTTTTACAAGGTAAAGTATGAAGACCTAATGTGTTTGCCATGGACTAATTAGTCTGTATGTCACTGTCGGAAATTTAAGCCATGTGAATAACAAAGGACAATTTTATAACAATCAGACAATGGGAACAGAAAATTATTTGGAAAAGGAGGTAAAAGCCTTTTTCTGTTTGCTTGCTTTAGTTGACTCTTTTCCAAATGTCTGTTGGCTATATTTTGCTTTTCTAATCAAAAGTTTTTTCAGGTAATTTCGACACAAAGTTCACCAAAATGCCCGCAGTAGAATCGCCCTGTGGTTCCATGACCTCAAGTGACCTTGACCTGGACATATTTAATGGCTTCACATACATCGCTCCCTCAGTCTTCGAAGAGATGCGCAAACTGCAGACAGGTCCAATGAGTTCAGTTTCTGGAAACAGACCTTCGCCTCGGAAAAGGAACTACAGCTCACAAGCCCATTCACCTCCTCGCTCCAATGAAGTTCCCAACGGAATCGGAGTCGTTGGAGGAGCGGAAGTGTCTGCCGGACTGTTTGCAGGGCCAAACAAGGTATCGGCGTTGAACGGATACCAGACCCAACCGCAGTCCTCGGGAGCGAACATCAATCACATGCAAACATCATCATCAACAGTAGCTTCAAACGCCTCTCAGTTTCAAAACGTGAACGCGAATTTATCAGCATCCACTTCCAAGTCAACATTCACGGGGGCTAAGATGGGCACTGTTTCCATGACAACTGCCGCGATGGTGAATGGAAGCGTCTCCAATAACAACCTCAAAGGAGGCGCACTGAAGGCAGCTCAAGAAGACAGCTTTGCAAGCGGTAGTCCAATGGAGGTATCGAAGGTTGAATGAAATGAAGATAAAACCAAGAAGAACTACTACTAATAGCCGACCAAATTGTCAATCGCTCCTCACACCCTTGCCCCATCTAAACAGATCAAAAGAACCCTATCAAGTTGAAAAGTGTCTTCAGATCACGTGAACAAATAAGGGTTCTTGAATGGACTTGATTTTCACACCGAGGTTGTGCAGAGGATGTTAAATAGGTTTCCGACGGCATAATTGCGCAATGAACTGCCTTTCCTCTTACTTGAGTTTTAATTGTGCATAAATTCGTTTTCTTCCTGTGTTTTACAGTAAATTATCTTCTCTATGATACCTACTACATACTTTATACATTGTCAATGGTGCTAACTGTTTATAATCAGTAAAACAAATCTGTTAAAATCAGTATTTTGACCGACCCATGTCCTTAAATGCAGTTCTTCTCGGAATTTGAATTTGCGCTTGCTCTTTATTGATCTAATTTACTAATTAAGTTGCGCATTTCTGCATAATAATGAATGAATTGATGTTAGAATGCTTCCGCGCTTAAACTCTTTGTAGCCACCTAAAGTCATTGGTCAACGCAGCAGCTCCCTTAAAATCATTACAATCAATTATTGTATGATTTTTTGCTGAAATTTTTTGTCTGGCGATATATGGAATGGTGGATTAATGAAATTTATTTTTGACTACCAACTTATTTGTCAGCATTTTCCAATTTTTTTCAGTTCTAAGCGTCAATACAAGGGTTGCAAAAGGCAAAAAAAGGAAGACCAAATGAGCTCTGAAAAAGACTCAATTTTCTCAAACGTTCTAACAAGTTTCGATTTCGACTTTCGTTGAAATCTCGATTAAGTAGATTTTGTAGCATAATCTTACATGAACTTAAATGTCATGGGCAAATAATAAGCTCGCCAGGTTAAGATAATTAGTGCCCTTGCAATTGCTAAGAGGTTGACCAAAAGGATAGTTATAAACTGCCACCGCTTAAGCTCAGCAGGCGAGTTTGAGTTGAAATATTGTATATTCAAATTATGGTACCATGCGTAATAATATCATAGGTGAATCTTAGACAAACTCAAATCAGTCACTGTCTGGCTTTCAAATCACAGCCTGGGAATGACCTATAAGTTTACTTTTAGTCTGCATAAGTTTGCGTTCTGTTTACTTTTTAATCGCGCCAAAAAGCTCCAGCTTATCTTACTGAACAGAAAATTCTGAATTTTTCATAGGAATAGCTTTCAAATAAGTTGGTAAGGTTCATTGATCTAAGAACTGCCTATGGAATATCAAAAGATTGGAAAGTATCACAGAAACGCCTTTGAGACCATTTAAATTGGTTATAGTTATTCGGATGTCTTTGATGCTTTCCTAGTAATTTCTTCGTATTCGGATGTGGAGCTATTCTATAACTTATTATTTCTCTGAAAGTCTTTTTTATATGTTGAACCTATTGTAGTAATGATGGTTGGAATCTGAACAATGACATATTTTGAATTGAAATGAATTATAATTGAAATGGCAGCCATTCTGTAAAGGGAATATGTTTTCAATCAAGCTCAGCCCAGGCATAAGAGAACTGTGTAGCATAAACTAAAGAAAAATTCGCTATCTGGAACAGAGTTGTGACAATATTGTGTTCACGCACTCGAAATAACCGCCGTGTGTGTTCTTAAGATTTTTAAAGACAGAGACGAGGCTTGTGAGTTTTCATATAAGACAAAGTTACAGGGTACTATGCAAGTAGCGTAGAATACTACCACAGATTGTTGTTCCGAAAACTTGGCTACGTGGTAAGGAACAATGGCATAGGGGCTGTTTTTTTCCAGCCTATTTTGACTGCCTCAAAGGAAGCTCTTCTGGGTTCAATTGTTGCATTATCTAAAAGAAACATTTTCAGCTGTGTCTCGAATTCTTCAAAAATATTAGTTTGAGAAAAAAATATATTAAAAGTTTGAGAAAAACTGGTTTGAATATGTTTTCAGACTAAATGAGACAACTTCATCAGAGGTTGACCTCCAATTTTTTTTTCTACAATTCAAACGTTATTTAAGCTACTATTATACTTGCGAGAGCAAATGTCTATTAATCAGGAACTAGACTTATTTCCCGTAAACAATTTTTTTTTATAACTTTGTAAGTAATTGATATTTTTGTATTATTGACACTTGGCAACATCCAGGCGGCATCCCACCTGGTCTGAAGGTAATCCAGTTGCCTTAGCACCCTATGGTCTGTAGTTCAAGTTGCGTCCTGGTCTTGTTTTTTTAGTGTCTGAAATTGAAGTTGTTTTCCGGGAGAAATTGATTAGTCGGACGTTAGTTTGTCGGCTTATGTTTTGTCGGCTTCGTTGCCACACCACGGATTTTTATTGGCTTGTAAGCATTGTCTATGCAGTCTCGAGTGTCTTTGCTTAACTCATGTAATTTGTTAATTACTAACCCTGACTGCCAATTTATCCCCTTAAACCGATGCAATAATTTCACCAAACCAACAAAACATCAGCCGGAATCATTTAGGCCGAATAAAATTTCTAAGAAACAAAATACAAAAAAATACAATATATACCAGTCACTGGTATATTTTCCGTAGATTTTGGGTCTTTTGTAGATTTTTGAAATTATATTCGGCTTAAATGATTACGGCTTATGTTTTGTCGATTTAGTGAATTTTTTTGCATCGGTTTCAGGGAATAAATTGATTACTATAATTGTTTTAAAAAATCAGTTTGGTCGTAGCATAAAAAAATTAACAACTGAATCGCTCTTAGTTTTTTTATGACATTAATTTTCTTTAGCATTTTTGTGCTCGAATCAATTGACATCTAACCACGTGTTATCGGCTTAGTGAACGATCGGAAAATACTACAAGAGTGTTAATTGTTTTCTAGTCTGTTTTTCTAAAATTGAATTTTTCATTTTTCCAAAGAAAAGTTTTTTTTGACGTAGTTATTTTCTTTTTACTCTATTTGGTAATAAGCAATACTACGCTTCGCCTCTGTATTGAAAGTTTCTTTCTTATTTGTAAATTTAATGCTCGAAATATGTATAATTTTTTTTTCGTTTTTATCCGCTTGAGTAGTTTCGGTGCAAGTTATAGCGGCTGAGTCACCTTATTTTGCGCCGTTTGAAAAGAAAAAAGAAAGTGTATTTAAGGAAAGGGGCGAACAATGTTTTTGTTTTTAACTTTGCGACCAATAAGGGAATTGCAATCGGGTAGTTGATTTTTTCCTTTATTCACAGAATGGTCAAAATTAGAAATGTTAAAGTTAGGTTTAATTTATAATGAATTCAAGTTTCTTAGCGTTTCCGGCCTTTTTGCTCTGTAGTATTTGAAAAGGACAGGGACGGCTAAGGTGCTCAGCTCGAGTCTGACAGGACATGTTTCATATTCCGTTTCAAAAAAAGTTAGCGTTTAACATCGTTTCAAACTATTTAGAAGTTTTAGTTCTGGTTTTTTCGAATTTTTTTCAATTGTTTTTTGGACTTGGCGGTCATCCTTTTTTCCTGTCTGCTAGCTTGCAATGCTGTTTTTAGGTGGTATGGAAAGTGGTGCGAAGCAAATGTTTAACCTCTCATTCGTGCTTTTTCCACCTTATTCACGCTTTTTGAAAAATAATCACTGGAAAATTGGACAATACATTTTTTGCATAAACGTCTTTTATTACACTTACCAGAGCAAGTTTCTTGTAATCGGGAACTAGACTTTTTTCGACGTAAAAATTTGTTAAAGCTTTGTTTTTGAACCTTAAAAACTTCCAGTCTCCTGCCCACATGGTCTGGAGGTAACGGACTTGCCTTCGCCCCTGAGGGTCTTTAGTTCAAGTACCGGACTGAATTTTTGTTAAATAAATATTCCCGTAAAAATTGAATTGATAAATTTTTGATTGTCTGCATATGTTTTGTCGGCTTAGTTGCCACATAACATATTTGTTTGAGCTGTGAGCAGTTTTCCTTGTCGCGAGTGTTGTTGAATTACTGCTGTAACTTGGGCCGGTTGTCGAGTAAAGATCAAAGTTTTAAAACTTGATCGCTCAAAGTCTTAACAACAGTTTGTTTTGGGGCGTTTTTCGGCTTAATGGACGTCTACCTGCTTTTTCGGCATAGTGGGCACTCGGTAAGAACTAAAAGCTTATTTACTGCTGATAGTTGTTTCTCGACAGTTTTTTTGATTTTTTTCATTTGTTTTCAAAAAAATTCCTACTCAACTATTTGCAAACTGTTTTTTCCGTCTCCTTTGAATTCTCTATCTTTCTGCCCCTTTTGTTTCTGACACATTTGCGATAGCAACTGTGTTGCAGTCAAATCAAATACTAGCTTTTTCCGTAAATAAATTAGTTCTCAGGTAAAAAAAATTAAATCAAAATTCTGTTGTTTAAAAAGATTTATCGCTGTCTGTTTAATTTTTGTCGACTTAGTTTCCATTTTTCTGCAAGCGAACTACATCGCTTTGTTGAATTCTAATTTTGAAAGGTTGAACGCTTAGTAACTTTTTAAATTTAAATTTCATCATACAAAAACTTGTTGATTTTTATGAAACCGTTTTTCGGTGAAATATGTCGGCTGTAACGCTCAGTTTTTTTTGCAATATTTTGATTTTTTTCATGAAACAAATTGCGCAGCATTTTACTAGAAATTGTCTTCGTTTGGTACAAATAATCTAAATACCTTATCAACCGTTTCTACATATAGTCAAAAAATTAAAAAATTCAGTTTTTAGTTCTTGTGATTTGGTTTTTATGCAGTTTTCAAACTCATCTCACTTTTTTAGTTGCTGGTGTATAGCCGCTTTTTATCTGATTTTCCAGTGTATCTAAATGCATGTCTTTTTAAGTTTTCATTTATTTCTTGAAATTCAAAGAGCTGTAAAACTTCGTGTTTTTTTAACACTAAATAAAAAATTATAATATTTTGGCAATTTTCTTTTTTCTTCTGTTAGCAATTTTTGTAACCTTTTGGTACACTTCATAAGTTTTTATGGTTGGCTATATGATGACTGACATCGCACTCCAAATAGGTTTGAAATTATTTCAGTTACAGTATGCTAACTATAGTGTTTGCTAATCTAGCAGCAGTTGATGTACATCCCTGTATTTGGAGCTAATCTGACAGTTTTCCGATGGCTTTTGTGACGTGAATCGGAGAATATCAGAACCTCTGTCTTGGTAGCGCTTCTGGATTACGGGTAAGTTTTCCTGAATTTCCCCTTCTATTTTTTTAAAATTAAATTTTTTTGTTTCAATTGTATAATTTGCTCTGAAGGATCTTTAATTTTTGATAAACAAGAATGAAATTCATGGAATCCTTGTTGCCTTTTTTGGGCTGTCGAAATTGCATATCGTTGAAAAAATTTGCTCAGCTCTCAGAACTTAAAATTAACGATAATTTACTGGAGATCGATAGCTTTCTGCAATTTAGAGTATTGCTACAAATATACAACATGTACTTGGTATTCTTCCAAAAGTTCTTCCTCGCTTTTGAGAACCTAGTCTTTCTGTTTTTATTTGACCATAGCTGCGATTGCTCAGCAGTTGTCTAAAACCGTTTTTTAGTCAAGGTAATTCGATGTTTTATTTTATTATGAAGTGTCAATGATTTTTCTGAAGACACTCACTAAGAAAAAGATGCTTTTTTTCAAGAAAGTGACAATATTTGTTCACGCTCAAGTCTGATTTTTCCCGTTTTGACTTTCGCGATTCTTTTCAAGTTCAGTTCGCTTACTTTGTTAAAAGGAGGTAAACTCAAATATCGAAACTTAAAAGTGTAAAGGCCACAAAAAACGTAACCGGCTTCTGGTGTAGAAGTTGGATTTTCATTTTCAGTTTTCTATGCTGAATAACAAAAACCTATTGTTCCTTTTTCTCAAATTGGGTTAATTTTCCCTTGAAATTAGAAGAGCTCTAAAGGCGCATAAATTTATTTCATTGAAATCCATAGTTGAATTTTTTCACAAAACAAGTCAAAGTCAAATTTGAAGGGTCAATTAACGTAGTGAAAACATTTATAAAGGTCATGATGATTTTTTTCGCTTTTTTAGGTAAATGTCTTAACTTTGATCACGCTCAAGTTTGACTTTGGGAGTATGACTTTTTATTTATTTTTAAGTTAACCGCAAATTCATTTGCTAGAAGGCAGGCAAATTATGCCTATCAATTACCAAAGCAGTGAGAAATATGAATAACTTTCCGGTTCAAAAATAGATTTTAAATTTTAGATTTCCCAGCGGATTAAAAAAGTTACATATTGATCCAGTTTTCTGCTATGCTTACGAAAGAAAAAATTCAAAAAAAGTTTCTTGGGAGAGAAAGAGTTGTAATTTGATGTATTGTTTTCTTCGGATTTCGAAAATGCTTTTTTTCATCAAAAGCCAATTTTTTTGGGTTAAGAATTTCAGTGAAACTTTTCCAACTTTTCTGTTGGTGGATTTTTTTAAGTATTTTTGGTTTTACTTTGTATTGTTTGGAAAGTGATTAGGCAGCTCGATCGGGTTGAATCTTTGGTTGTTCGGACTTTTCATGCGTCGGAAGTAGTTTTTTTAAGAACATGAAATATTTATAAAAATTTTTGAAAAAGTTCCAAAAAAGAGCGTGGGTTAATGAAGACGACTGTGGTTGAAACGTTTTTAGCTTTAATTTTGCCGTTGCTCAGGCAGTCCTCTATGTTTTGGATTTTTCATCGCCTTAAAATTGTTGAGTGATATACCTACTTGCGTCCTTTGTCTCTTATGAAGATTTGTTAGGTATGCTTCCCTTGCGATAGCTGTTCCTGCCAACCTTAGCATGGGAAGTTGATTTTAGTTTGGACATATAAATAAGTGTATCGGAACAGTACGTTACTTAGGTGTAGATTTAGGGGATTGCTTCGCAAGGTTCGTTTTCTCTATCTTAACGACACCGCAAAGTCGTCCCTTGGGCATTGAATTCAGCTGGGCGACCGAGATTCACTACTATCTACTATCCCGAAAGGGTTCTTTTGGTGGCAAGTATTCTGTATTGTAGTATGTTGCTTGCACCCCTTCTTTTGTTATGCTATTCAGGCTGTCTTGTTTACTCGATACAATCGCAAGTACTTTCAATTGTAATTTAATTCAGATGAATATACGTCTAATTAAAGAAGGCTCTGAGTGGTCAGAATATAATCTAATAATTAAATCAAAAGGAAAGGGTCCGCGATTTATCAGCACAATTGCCTAATTGCTATTAACTTCTCACAAACTCCACTGGTACTAAACTGTTCTCTCTCCAGAGAATCTGATGAGAACCAACTATCTACTGTTTCTGCTATAATTGTTCTCTTACTCCGAGAACCAACTACTTGACTAACTAGCAATAATTTTTCTCTCTAACTAACTGAGAACCAACTATACTCTCTCTCAGTATCAATGGCTCTCTACTCTGACTGAGAACCAACTACTCTTAATAGTAGTAAACAACTGTTCTGACGCTTACAGGCTGTCCGGTACCCTCCAATTCCTTATCTTTCTTTACACTTAGTTTTAGTTAAGTCACGCCATTCCCTATCAGTCCTGGTATCCGCTTAAATCGCCCGTGCGCACATGTTTTAAGACTATATCCCTCCTCCTGTCAACTCTGCCACGTGCCATATTTGGTTTCTTTTATCAATCTTTTCTCGCTTATTAGATACCCTGTATGCGTTGCGCGGCGTCACAATTTGACCAAGCAAACAAATGTCATACGATTCTAATCAATTAGTTCCTGACCTGAATGAGCTTCAGCCCTCGAGTTAAACTCTACCTCCAAACCATGCTATGTTCACTCAGTGTGACCCTCCCAAGTTCTTTATTTTAATTATCACGTTAATGTTCCGACCTCCCAAGGGTAGGGGGAGACCCTTTTCATGGGTAGCTAATTCATTCCAAGCATCTAAAATTTCTATCTGTACTCTATTCCAATCCCGGCATCTAGATATCAGAGGAACTTAGTTCGTCTATTAGGGGTCAAGTAAAGCCAAAAGTCACCTCCGGGAGCCAAGTAAACTCCCCGTCCGTTCATGCTGCGGTCATATTATCATTTTCCTCTGGAACTACTTTTCTTAAGTCTAATTGAATTGCTATTATTAGATCATTTGCCAAGCTTAACTGAACCCAATATTTACCAAGTCCACTTGGAATTAACTCTACTTCTCCAAAGTTGCAATGTAAACTATATATCTCTCAACTTCTGCTCTAGTTCTCAAAATACAAGTTTCCTCGCAACTTTTAGCAAGGAGACCCATTCTCATTTCAGGGGTTGGGCTGGGGAATACGCCACTTTCCGGTGGTAATCTCGGGGTTTTCTATGCAGTTTTGGGGTCAAAATGACCAAAGGTCAACTTAAGGTCACACAGTGGTCAACCGGGGTCAAACATCCATATTTGGTTGCAGAATCTCTAAATACCAAGTTTCGTCCATATCCCATAAGTACTTCACAAGTTATACCATTTCTAAGACACATTTTCACTTTTTCAGGAAAAAGGCTATTAACACCGGAAGGAGTCGCCGGAGGGTTTTCACTCACTATGGGCCTTTTTTCGGGGTTCGTATCTTATGTCGATTGCCGCAATAAAATCATTATGCCACCGTCCATTATTCTGCGTAAATTGCCTGTTTCCGGTTTCGGGGGTGTTTTTCCCAAGTGCTAATAACTTCCGGTCCAACCGCCGGATTTGCTTCAAATTATAACACAAGATGTATCTAGCTACTAACTATCAACCCTCCAAGTTTCACCTCCGTGCGCTCATTGGAGGCCGAGAAGTTAGGGGTGGGTTTGTTTACTTAGGGCATAAAACCGGAAGTGAGAATCCTAGGGGTCTGGGGTTCCGAACTTAAGCTTCCCTCAACTAGGATTACAACATATTAAATTTTGAGACCATTACCGCCGCTAGTTTCCGAGTTCTGCTAGGGCCATTTACACTTCCGGGGACCATTATCACTTGCCCTCCAAGGGTCTGAAGGTCCCGTTTTTCGTATGCCTGGGTCGAATCGCTCCTCTGAATTTCATAACAGTCGCTTTCTTAGTTCCGATTTTTTTTTTTTGGGGGGGGGGGGGGTCGCCGGTTTTTTAGGGGGGGGGGGGCGCCGGTTTTTTAGGGGGGGGGATTTCGCCGATTTTGTCAAATTTTATATTCTGGCATAGGAGGGACGATATCTTTGAAGAATGAACTATTTTGAACTCGACCATTTGTTTGCTCTACTACTTAAGTTAATGACTAATAGTTCTTACGCTCAGGTTAGTTATGCATGTAATACAGTAGAATGGCCAATTGTGCATTAGGTATGACAAATTTGGTGGTTCGAATTTTTTCGATAATTTCAAGTTTTCTTTCATGATGCTACATTGCTTGTTACATTGGTACGATTCTACGAAAGCGGAGCTATCTGCGCTGTGGAAGCGTAGTCTTCGAAAGATAAATTTGAAAGATAAATTTTTAACGCTGGTAATTTGCTTTCTCGAGCAAACAAGAAAATTTAGGTAGAATATTTTTGTAAAATATTTTCGTCTGAGTGAATTTTGTCTCGTTTCTTGTCGCTCTAGTTTTCCATGCAATGTTTACATTGTATCGCAAGTGATTTGAAGGTCCGCTCCGCCTCTGTGTAAATTTTATGTGCAAGCTCTCATATTTTTAATCGGAATGCAATGAAACGAATGAGATTAACTTCTACCAATAGTCAGAATTTATTCCACTTGCTTTTGTGCGGTGTTCGCTTGCGTTTCAGCTTATTAGGTATCCGCTGGCAAAATTTGCAGGAAATCATTTTTGTTTTGATTTCTTTGTTTTGTTAGCCCCCTTTTTCCATAAACATAATGGAAAACCCTGGTCACCAGGCTTCACGCAAGAGTTGGGCAAAATTAAAAACAACCCAGCTTGTCAGACCAAATTGAAGTAATCTGAACAATCTTTCCTATTAAACATGTCGCTGTTTAACACCAACTCGCTTGAAGTTTTACCATGCTAAGGTTGGCATAGAAACATAGAAAAGACAACTTTTGATAACAATTGGAAATTACCGTTAAATGTCATATTTATAAGTCCGTTTTCAAAATGCTGTCTTGTGATTAGAAAGCAAATTGATAAGTTTCGGAAAAAAAATTTGGTGCTTGAAGTTCAGTTTTTGATCGATTTTATTCTGTTTCAGGTATAATCGACACGCGACTGATACAATTAGCTTACCGGGCTCTTTGATCAACAAATATCACCGATTTACAAACTATAATTGCTTAAACTGACTCGATTTTTTCGACTGATAGAAATTAATTACCTAAATTTTATCATAAATCATTACCGGAATTTGTACCTTTTAGTTAGTATCGTCTGAATTTGTATAGACTTAAAGCAGAGCCATTATTTTTTTGCTTCATAATGTTTAGTGGACTGATTATTTTTGATGTGTTGTTTTTTGATTGGTATATGTGGAGCGAATATTTGCATGGCTTTACGCTTGAAACAATTTGCTCGTTATTGTAAAATAACCTTTTCGTAAAAAAGCGCACTTTGTTCATGCGCATCGGCTGTTTATTCTGATTTCTGCTGTTTCTTACCAATTACAAAATTGGCGTGATCTGAATTGGTTCTTATCATAATTTCCTTATCACAATAAACTGATTTTACTGTCAGTTGGAAGCATAATTGAGTCTCAACCTGATTGCAAGTCTAGTGTTGACGTTTGTTACCATTTCTTCATTTTTTCATTATCTTTAACCTTCCGCATCCGACTTTTTTTTAATCCGTAAAAATGCTGCAAGGTAAATTTGTATTTGCAACAATTTTACAATCATTGATACTACCTACATTATCATCCGAAAGCAATATTTGCGGAAACAGCTCTCAAATCGCTCAAATCTACACCGGCGATTTTCACGAAAACTCGTGCGAAATCCTGCAAAATGACACGAATTCTCGTTATGGTAACGAGACAGGTGATATATTAGCTTGGGTGGTACAAACTAGAAATAGTTTTTTTTGCAATTTTTCTTTGTATATTTTTTTAATCGTATTTAAATATCCTGGTGGTAAAAATGTTCTAACTTTAACTAATGGCACTTTAGCCTATTTCGCTTCGGGTAGCATGTTATTTCTATCCATTTTTTTATTTAACTTCCGCTGAAGAACTTACAACCACGACAAGCGGAAGTTGAATAAAAATTGATAGAAAAAGCATGCTACCCGAAGCGACATTGGTTAAAGTAATATTAGTTAAAGTTAGAACATTTTTACCACCAAGATATTTAAAGGCGATTAAAAAAATAACAAAAAAAAACTGTAAAAAGGAATTATTAAAAGTTTTGCATACTAATTAGGGTATTAATTTTTTTCAAAATGAAATTTAGGTTAAAATTCTATTCCGGTCAAAATTCTGAATTGAAGAATTTCTTATACACTGCAGGAAAAAATGTACCACCTATTCTATATTGCACCACGAAACAGTTTGTATGAGTTGCTACATGAAGATTTCTAAAGTCGCTGAACGAGAACAGAAACATGTTTACGGCATCGCATACATACCAGATGAAGACATTAATTTGAAGCATCGTCATAAGCTGAACGTAACAGAGAGGGTGCATTGTGCGAATGTGACTAATCAATCTTCTTGTGAAATCAAGCCGGAAATCAAGATTGTGACTAAAAATAAAACGAAGACCATGGAAACTGCAGAGGGGTTTGAAATCCGGATTCTGAAATATGCGAATGTGAGTTTTAAATTCAGTCTTTTTCTTTTTATATTGACAAAAAAGAATTCCATTTATTAAGATAAATTTGCATCAGAAAAAATCCATTCAAAATCAATTAATGTGGAATAATTTTTTGATTTTGTATCAGCCATAAAGTATCTTTTATTCAATGATACAGTTTACATATATACATGATTGCACTAGCATCAGCTTAGTCTATTATTGAGAAATTTATTGCTAACCCAAGTCGCAACTTTACTATTGGGGCACTTTTACAGTTTTTGATAGCATTTGCTTTGACATTCGATAATTATCAAGTTAACACAGTTGATGCTTTGTTAATTCATCAAATGAACCGAAAAAAGTTATGTTCCAAACAACATAACAATAAGAAAAACTTGATTTCAGAAATTTTTCAACTCAATATATCTTGCAATTTTTAGAAATGCATAATTTCTACATATTGTGGCTTTATGCGATTTGTTACATGCAAAATTAGTATGGAAGTCTTCAGTTTGTTATATTCCAAATTATTACTTGCAAAATTGTGTCTAGTTGTATTTGGTGCCTATTTTGCTGCATCGAATTGACAATTTTTTTTAGCATATGTAGCTGCTTTATTCGTGACTAGTGTTTGTCGGTAGTTAAGCTTGAGTGGTTAGTTGGTGCGTATTCATAGGTCCCAAAATGAAAAATCAGTCCCAAAATAAAATAGCAGTCGCATAAGCTCCAAATTTTTTCAATTGGCCAAAAGACTAAATTAACCGAGTCTCGGCTTAAGGTCGCCGGTGGGTGCGCTACGCGTGCGTCGCCGCTTCGCGGCGATAACCGTCTCTAAATTTCGTATAGAGTCCTACCCTTTGGTGGTAAGCTCGCAACGCGTTGGCGCGGCTGCGGCGGTCACTATTCTGCAGCTTGAGTTTATGCTGCTTGAACAGTATACAATCAATCCAGAAATTCGTTGGCTCAAACTTCAACCAATCAGAATTCAAGAACATAAATTCTGGGACTTATGCGAATTATTTTTTATTTTGGGAGCTGTGAATATGGGAACCTATGGGAATTCACTGGTTAGTTGGTGAGACTCAAAATTTCTTGATTGCAGTTAGTCGCAGATTGAATCCTAGACCTAGCCGAATTTTTGCTAATTCGAGGCTTATTTTTATTTTTTTTCTTATTGCACTTTCTAGAGCTGCTTTTTGCCGTGTTCTCGCTAGTGTTTGCAAAGCGAAGCGTTGCCTCTGTGTGAATAGCTAGTTTACTAAATTACCTTGAATGGTAAATTATCAATATTGAACCAAATTAGAAAAATTGTTTAAGAATATTCCAGAAAATAGACACAATTTTAATGGCCGTTAGTGAGTGTAAGCATTAATCAGAACGTGCTTTAGTCAGAAAACAGGACAGACGAAGTGTTTGTGGAAGTGATTATAAGCAGCAGCCGATTCAGAGAATTCGAGTATCCCGACATCATTGTGGACTACGTGCCCGGGTTCAAGTTCAAACCATGCTCCAAATACGGGTCAGTTTTTAGAGAGACTAAATTATGTGAATTGTGGACGAGCGAATTGATTCATCTCTTATTTAGATTGAAGTTTGTTCAGCGGAAGTTAAATAAAAATGGATCAATTAACATGCTGCTCTGAAATTGTCAAAATTAGACAACAAAACTCTTCGAGCCCTGTATTTATTGTGGATTGAAAATGCTTCCCTATTTAATTAAGGAAGATTTAATTTATCAGCTATTGCGCTATTTACAAAACCAGTTTTTAGAGATGTAAAATAGGTTGACTAATTAAATTAGTATAACTTGAAGATAATGAACTTTTCGCCGACGATTAATTGTTAATAAAATTCAGATTTTTCTTCTCAGATTTTTCTTGGTTTTTTTTCTGTTCTATTTGATTTTCTCAACTTAAATTTATGTGGTCTGAACATTCTCTGCTACTTGCACTGCAACCAGCTATCCCTGTTCCTATTTTAGTTTCACTCTTAATACTTTACCCAAGAAGAGTGTGATGGATGGTGGGAATATGAGACCCCATAACTTCACCACACATGGCCTGCCTTCTCTGGAAATATTGCAGGCTGGTATTGGTAGCTTCCCGCAATGGAAGGAGAAACCGGAGCGAAATTGTTCCAAAAAAGTAAGTGTCCATTTGCAAGTTAAAAGTTAATAAAATTGCGAAATTGAAACTACAGGACAGTTTTTTTTCTTGTAAAAATATATGTAGAAAAATTTTGTAAATAGTTTATAAGCAGCCAAAGCATTGAAAGTTTGCCTTGAAATTTAGCCAAAATACCAAGAGTTATTTAGTGTCGATAAACGAAGTGAAGTCACCTGTATAGGTCCTGTGGATTTTTAAGAAAAATTATGAAAAAGTGGTTCACAGTCAAAATTGATTTTTGGCATTTTGATTTTGTTTCTTAAGAGCCGATGAACCTAGTTTCTTCCGCATATTGACTCTTTTCCAGCTTATTTTTTATTAGACCACGGCCCAGATCCCACCATTTTCTCTTCCCCCTTCACTTTTTGCCAATTGTGTTTGCTATGTTTTTAAGTTCAATTCAAATACATTTGCTGAAAGGCATGAAATTACGCTGTTCAAAGACAAAAGTGGAATTGACGCGAAAAAAACGTGAATGATTGATGGTTAAAAGGGAGTGTGTTGTGATTTTCAGGGTTCCATAGATATTATAGTACATATCTCAATTTTTCTCGTACACTACTTCCTTACCCAATGCTAGCTTTTACTATTGTCTGGAGCTGTGACTGTGTGGTATGCATTATATATTTTTAAACCATAAAAAACGAGAATGAATAAACCAGCCGATGTATAAACCAACTGAAAATGCGCGGTGTTTATAAGCCAGCCGAAAAGTTACATCAAATGAATGAAATTTGCATAAATTTCGTAACTGTTACTTTATTGTTACATTACTATTCTATAGCTTTAACGTTTTTCGTCTGGTTCAAACTTGGCTGGTTTCTACTTCGGCTGGTTTATATACTACCTAAAAACAATGCTCATTAAACTAAAATTTTTTGCAATTTTATGTTTTTTCGACTTAGAATGTTTTTTTTTTGGCTTCATGGCATTCGGCTCAGTTTTGCCAGCTTCCTTGTCAGATTTTTTTTGCTGTAGTTTATGTCTTTTATCGAGTGTTTTTGCCAATATTAGAGCATCAAATTTAAATGCAACCGCTTTTTATGCTTTTTGTTTTGCTTGCTGTTACGTTTGATTTTTGGTTTCTGTTCTTTGCTTAGTTATTTGAATAAGTTAATTGCTACTGTTAGTTTGCTTTTATGCTAGATGCTTAAGTTAAATACTTTTGTGAAGCGAGTGTTTTTAGTACGATCCTTCTTTTTTCCAATCTAAGTTGCCGAAATCGGTGCTACTTTTGGGGCACCTTTACACCTTTTTGGTAGCATGTGCTTTGACATTCGAATAGTCATAAGTTACCACAGTTAATGCACTTTTAATTCATCAAATGAACCGAAAAAAGTGATTTGTTTCAAACAACATAACAATAATGAAAACTCGATTTCAGAATTTTTCTAGCTCAATATATCTCGCAATTTTTTGAAATGCTTTATTCATTCATAATGTGGCTTTATACTTTGCGATTTGTTACATGCAAAGTTAGTGTTGATTCCTTCAGTTTGTTATATTCTAAATTATTACTTGCAAATATCAGTCTCAGTTTCGAATCCTACACGCAGTCGAGTTTTTCTAGTTCGAGGTTTATGTCTATTTTTTCTTATTTCACTTGATAGAGCTGCTTTTTGGCCGTGTTCTTGCAAGTGTTTTCTAAGCGCTGCTTCGCGTCTGTGTACAATTTAGTGTGACCGAAATTTTAAAAATTTTCAAGATTCGATGGACGTAGTGTAAAGTGAAAGTGTAAACGTCCCGAAAAACATGATCGACTTCTAGTTTAGAAAGTGGAATTTAATTATCGAATTTCCCAGCGAAATAAAAATTTTACCTATTGATCCGTTTTTCACAAGGTTTGTTTTATCAAAAATGTGTCAATCATAAATTGTTATAGAAATTCAAAGAGCTTTCAGTCCATTATTTTTTCTTTGAATTTCGAAAAATGAGACTTTTCAAAAATAAACAGTTCTGTTTTTCTAAATTTCATTTTTTTTTTCAAGATTCTAATCTTTTAAATGCTTCAAATTTTTTTTTCCTTATTTCAATGCAAGTGATAGGTAGACACCAGAAATCCGTTATGGATTCGATAAACAACATAAAATCAACTATGATTTTTTAATCCTCAAATACTTTCGTACTTCACAAGTTATCCCATTTCTAAGACACATTTTCGCTTTTTCCGGAAAAAGGCTATTAACACCGGAAGGAGTCGCCGGAGGGTTTTCACTCACAAGGGGCCTTTTTTCGGGGTTCGTATCTTATGTCGATTGCCGCAATAAAATCATAATGCCATCGTCCATTATTTTGCGTAAATTGCCTGTTTCCGGTTTCGGGGGGTAATTTTCCTAAGTGCTAATAACTTCCGGTCCAAATGCCGGATTTGCTTCAAATTATAACACGATGTATCTAGCTACTACCTATCAACCCTCCAAGTTTCAGCTCCCTGCGCTCATAAGAGGCCGAGAAGTTAGGGGTGGGTTTGTTAATTTAGGGCATAAAACCGGAAGTGGGAAGCCTAGGGGTCTGGGGTTCCGAATTTAAGCTTCCCTCAACTAGGATAACAATACATTAAAATTTTAGCCTATTACCGCTGCTAGTTTCCGAGTCCTGCTAGGGCCATTTACACTTCCGGGGACCGTTATCACTTGCCCCCCAAGAGTCTGAGGGTCCCGTTTTTTGTATGCCGGGGTCGAATCATCTCTAGTATCGCTCCTCTGAATTTCACAACAGCAGCTGCCTTAGTTCCGATTTTTTTTTGGGGGGGGGGGGGGGGTTTCGCCGATTTTTTTATGGGGGTGTTCGCCGATTTTGTCAAATTTTATTTGCTGGCATAGGAGGGACGATATGTTGGAAGAATGAACTATTTTGAACTCGACCATTTGTTTGCTTTACTACTTAAGTTAATGACACTAATCATTCTTACGCTCAGGTTAGTAATGCATGTTATACAGTAGAATCGCCAATTCTACATTAGGTATGACAAATTTGGTGATTTTAATTTTTTTCGATAGTTTCAAGTTCTTTCATGATGCTACATTGCTTGTTACATTGGTACGGTTCTACGAAAGCGGCGCTATATGCGCTCGGGAAGCGTAGTCTTCGAAAGATAAATTTGTTTGCTCAATTTTTTTTCGGTGTCAATGTATCCTGACATCATTGTGGACTACGTGCCCGGGTTCAAGTTCAAACCATGCTCCAAATACGGGTCAGTTTTTAGGGAGACTAAAATATGTGAATTGTGGACGAGCGAATTGATTCACCTCGTATCTAGATTATAGTTTGTCCAGCGTAAAGTAAATAAAAATGGATCAATTAACATGCTGCTCTGAAATTGTCAAAATTAGGCAAAATTTCTTCGAGCCCTGTATTTAACGTGGATTGAAAATGCTTCCCTATTTAATTAAGGAAGATTTAATTTATCAGTTATTGCGCTATTTACAAAACCATTTTTTAGAGATTTAAAAGAGGTTGACTAATCAAATTAGTATAACTTAAAGATAATGAACTTTTCGCCGACGATTAATTGTTAATAAAATTCAGATTTTCTGAACAGATTTTTCTTCTCAGATTTTTCTTCTCAGATTTTTCTGTTTTTTTTTCTGTTCTATTTGATTTTCTCAACTTAAATTTATGTGGTCTGAACATTTTCTGCTACTTGCACTGCAACTAGCTATCCCTGTTCCTATTTTAGTTTCACTCTTAATACTTTACCCAAGAAGAGTGTGATGGATGGTGGGAATATGAGACCCCATAACTTCACCACACATGGCCTGCCTTCTCTGGACATATTGCAGGCTGGTATTGGTAGCTTCCCGCAATGGAAGGAGAAACCGGAGCGAAATTGTTCCAAAAAAGTAAGTGTCCATTTGCAAGTTAAAAGTTAATAAAATTGCGAAATTGAAACTACAGGACAGTTTTTTTTCTTGTAAAAATATATGTAGAAAAATTTTGTAAATAGTTTATAAGCAGCCAAAGCATTGAAAGTTTGCCTTGAAATTTAGCCAAAATACCAAGAGTTATTTAGTGTCGATAAACGAAGTGAAGTCACCTGTATAGGTCCTGTGGATTTTTAAGAAAAATTATGAAAAAGTGGTTCACAGTCAAAATTGATTTTTGGCATTTTGATTTTGTTTCTTAAGAGCCGATGAACCTAGTTTCTTCCGCATATTGACTCTTTTCCAGCTTATTTTTTATTAGACCACGGCCCAGATCCCACCATTTTCTCTTCCCCCTTCACTTTTTGCCAATTGTGTTTGCTATGTTTTTAAGTTCAATTCAAATACATTTGCTGAAAGGCATGAAATTACGCTGTTCAAAGACAAAAATGGAATTGACGCGAAAAAAACGTGAATGATTGATGGTTAAAAGGGAGTGTGTTGTGATTTTCAGGGTTCCATAGATATTATAGTACATATCTCAATTTTTCTCGTACACTACTTCCTTACCCAATGCTAGCTTTTACTATTGTCTGGAGCTGTGACTGTGTGGTATGCATTATATATTTTTAAACCATAAAAACGAGAATGAATAAACCAGCCGATGTATAAACCAACTGAAAATGCGCGGTGTTTATAAGCCAGCCGAAAAGTTACATCAAATGAATGAAATTTGCATAAATTTCGTAACTGTTACTTTATTGTTACATTACTATTCTATAGCTTTAACGTTTTTCGTCTGGTTCAAACTTGGCTGGTTTCTACTTCGGCTGGTTTATATACTACCTAAAAACAATGCTCATTAAACTAAAATTTTTTTGCAATTTTATGTTTTTTCGACTTAGAATGTTTTTTTTGGCTTCATGGCATTCGGCTCAGTTTTGCCAGCTTCCTTGTCAGATTTTTTTTGCTGTAGTTTATGTCTTTTATCGAGTGTTTTTGCCAATATTAGAGCATCAAAGTTAAATGCAACCGCTTTTTATGCTTTTTGTTTTGCTTGCTGTTACGTTTGATTTTTGGTTTCTGTTCTTTGCTTAGTTATTTGAATAAGTTAATTGCTACTGTTAGTTTGCTTTTATGCTAGATGCTTAAGTTAATTACTTTTGTGAAGCGAGTGTTTTTAGTACGATCCTTCTTTTTTCCAATCTAAGTTGCCGAAATCGGTGCTACTTTTGGGGCACCTTTACACCTTTTTGGTAGCATGTGCTTTGACATTCGAATAGTCATAAGTTAGCACAGTTAATGCACTTTTAATTCATCAAATGAACCGAAAAAAGTGATTTGTTTCAAACAACATAACAATAATGAAAACTCGATTTCAGAATTTTTCTAGCTCAATATATCTCGCAACTTTTTTGAAATGCTTTATTCATTCATAATGTGGCTTTATACTTTGCGATTTGTTACATGCAAAGTTAGTGTTGATTCCTTCAGTTTGTTATATTCTAAATTATTACTTGCAAATATCAGTCTCAGTTTCGAATCCTACACGCAGTCGAGTTTTTCTAGTTCGAGGTTTATGTCTATTTTTTCTTATTTCACTTGATAGAGCTGCTTTTTGGCCGTGTTCTTGCAAGTGTTTTCTAAGCGCTGCTTCGCGTCTGTGTACAATTTAGTGTGACCGAAATTTTAAAAATTTTCAAGATTCGATGGAAGTAGTGTAAAGTGAAAGTGTAAACGTCCCGAAAAACATGATCGACTTCTAGTTTAGAAAGTGGAATTTAATTATCGAATTTCCCAGCGAAATAAAAATTTTACCTATTGATCCGTTTTTCACAAGGTTTGTTTTATCAAAACTGTGTCAATCATAAATTGTTATAGAAATTCAAAGAGCTTTCAGTCCATTATTTTTTCTTTGAATTTCGAAAAATGAGACTTTTCAAAAATAAACAGTTCTGTTTTTCTAAATTTCATTTTTTTTTTCAAGATTCTAATCTTTTAAATGCTTCAAATTTTTTTTTCCTTATTTCAATGCAAGTGATAGGTAGACACCAGAAATCCGTTATGGATTCGATAAACAACATAAAATCAACTATGATTTTTTAATCCTCAAATACTTCCGTTGCATTGAGGTAGCTGCTGGATACCTCCATGGAGTTTTTTTTCCATTGCATCGGGTAGCTGCTTTGTTGTTTTTTTTTCTATTTTTTTTGCTAGATTTTGTTTTTTTTGCGTGTAAACCGGGCTTATTAACGATAATGTATTATTTTCAGAAGTTTAAAAATCTCATGTCATTTTCAGCGGCTTCATGATCTACGGTTTTTTCTCATATCGGTTTTTTTCTAATTAAAAAAATATCGTTCGAATTTTTTTTTTGTTGTTGGCGTTAGTTATCTTTTCATTTTGAAACTTCGTGAAATTTTGCTTGCTAGTGTTTTCTTGATTTTCTGAATATTTTGTTTCCAATCGTGTCTGTTGGCTTTGTTTTTTTTTCTGAATCGCGAAGTGATGCGGAACTCAGTTTTGCTTCTGTGGTCATAGTTGTTTCTTTATTTGTTGCAGGACTGCATTGTGGGCGTGAACTGCAGTGAAGACGGAGTGGAAAACATGGGCACAGTGAGGTCCTTCTTGCTCGCAGTGGCCGTCAGCATCCTCTTCCTCCTCTTCTTCGGGGCCATAGTGGCCATAGCCAGAGTCAAAGCACGCTCTCTGTCCGGAAGAGACGACACGGTCCATAGTTAACAGTCCCTCTTTCCCTGTACCTCCTCCAACCCCCCCCCCCCCCCCCTCTCGAAAAAATAGCCCATAGTTGACAATGGCTCTTTCAAAACTATTGATTGGCTGAATATTCAAACAGTAATTCAAGTTGACATCCACCAATAAACCGCTTTGGGCTGACGGATGTCAACTTGAGCCCCATTATATGAAAATCTCAGTGTGAGGGGCTTTGAAATTTTGGTTAAGGCGGAAAATTTACCTTTGGAGCGCTGTGAAAGAAATAAGTTTTGAAAATACGTAAAATTGGGGTTTTTTTGATGTCCTGAAAGTATTCCAAATATTCGAAAAAAAACATTAGGTTATGGCCGTGAAAGAAATTAATGTTAGTTATCTGCGTAAAACCAAATAAAAGCAGGGTCTCATTTTAAGGTTCAAAACGTTTTTTTATTTTTAGGAGTTCCTGTATGACGACCAGGACGACGACTTCCAAGACGAGGACGAGGAGCATAGAGCGGTTCGTATGAACGAGACAGAAATGACAGACGTCGTGCAGGCTCCTCATAAGCAGCAGTCACAAAATGGAATCAGCTCACTCGCAAACTCAGGTGATATATTAGCATACATGGCAAATAATACATTGCTTGAAAAAAATAGATGGAGTGTGTGCCTTAAGCATGTAGTTGCACTAGTAGAACTTGCAATTTGAACAAGTCTGCTTTTTTACTAAGTGTCACGCATTTCTAAGTTATATTTACACAAGCATAGCTTGTGTTATATTATGAACTTTCTTTTTTTTCCAACCTAAGTCGCAAATATTGTTGCAATGCAATTGTTGCGACAAAATGTGTTTATTTTGACAGTGTTCATTTTGCTCCAGCAACTAACTAGAGCCAATGCTAAGGATATTAACACAGACTATTATATTACAAATAGCACTTCAGCTTCATGGTATCATGGTTCTGTAGCGTAGAGGTAGGGAAGGAGACCAGCAGCAAAATAAGAGGGTTCGAACCTCAGCAGGGTCAGACGTTTTTAATGAACGTTTTCGTATACTAGTTAAAATGCGTCCGCTCTATAAATTGAGGCATGTTAGTAGGTAAATTTCTTATTAAATTGACTGCTAATGCGTCATAATTGGTTTGCGTCACTTAGCAATTATGTAGACTCATAATTGGCGTGCGTCACTTAAGAAATTTTGTAATTTTGTAGACTCTCCTTTACTCATTCAGTTTTTCCCAGTAGCGTTGTCGGTCATATTTTTTGCTTGTCTGAGCGAAGTGCAACTTAGCCTCTGTGTTACGCTTGCGATTAGCAAGCGTTATCAAACCGGAATGTACACTTTTTTTCGGGCTAACAGCTATCAAGTCAGACGTTAATTCGAGCATGTCGAAGAGGTAATGCACCTGCCTATAAAGACAAAGGTAAATTGTTTGAATCCCGCCAGGAGCTGTTTTTTGTCAACAAAAAATTTTCCGCGCGTCAAAAAATTCTTTGTCGGACTTCTGTTTGTCCGCTTTTTTTTCATTCAAATAAAAAATAAATTTTTCTGTCCATTACACTAGCAGTCAGCTTAGTGTATTATTACGAACCTTATTTTTTTCTAGCCTAACTCGCAAATAAAAATTCATTAAAAGTGATTCAGAACTTATTTGGAAATTTTACTGTAGCATTGGAAACTGCATAGCATCTGTTCTCTGCTTATTTGTGGCTATTGTTTGGTATCTACTAAGCTTCCGTGGATAGTGTGAGATTCTTAATTTTTAGGTTCCAGGTTCGAATCTCAGGCGTAGCCGAATTTTTACTAATTCGAGGCTAATTTGTAATTTTTCTTATTGCACATAGCTGCTTTTTGTCGTGTTCTGGCGAAGTGAAGCTTCGCCTCTGTGTTAAAAATTTTATTTATAAACTCAAGGATTGGTCTGTGTGATTGATGCAGTGGTAACACCCATGCTTGTGACGACAATTCTCAGAAGTTCGATTTCAGTCGGAATTTTTGTCAAAACTGAAAATGTTCGCAACTTTCAAGTCTAGAGAGTTTCGATTTCATCTCAGCCTTTTAAAAATTTTTCTATGGTTCAGGTAATTTTGTTTCAGTAAGTATTTTCTTTTTGCACTTTTTGTAACTACTTTGACAAAAAAAAACTTTTTTTTTTGTGAAGTTTTTTTTTTCAATTTTTGATTTGTCTGTTTACTTGCTGGTAATCATAGTCATAAGTTTTTGTATCGCAACTGATGCAAAGCTCAGCTAGGCCTATGTATTCTAAATTGATTTTCGACATTTGCGAGCGCAAGTGTCTTGTAAGCGGAATCTAGACATTTTTCCTCTAATCAGCTTTCTCACATTTCTGAGAAATTGAACTTACTTTATTTTTGAACCATAGCAGCGTCCAGGCTCCTTTCTTGTTGGTCTAGATGTAACGCTGTTATTTTTTGACCAGACTGTCGGGAGTTCGAGATCGGCCGGACCTTGTTTTTCCAGATTGTATGAAATGGATTTTTTTCCGGGAAAAATTGAGTCGTCGGACTTTTGTTAGTCTGCTGCTTGCGTGTTGGCCTAATTTTCCAAAGCCTTGAATTTGGCCAATGAGCCATAGGAGTCAATAAAATTTAACTAAAGTGTGAAAAAAGTTTCTGGGGTTATAGTTAATTGATTTGGAACTTATAAAGTAATTGATCGTGCACACCGGACTTAAGAGCAGTACAACGAATTAATCAAATTGGTTGCTATTACAGCGCACTTTTGTTTCTCTTTCAACTCTCTTGCATTAAGATGCTTAAATTATGTTCAATAGCCCTCGTAAATGATTTTTGGCTAGACTGGTGCGCTTTAGTCTAAATGTATATCGAATTTGTCTCTGCATAAATAATAGTTGTCATGATACTTTTGGTTTCGAAAAGTGTGTTTCCATTTCATTGAATTAGTGATGGCTAACTCATTTTTATAAGCCTTGTAAAGCAGTCAGTGTAATTTTAAAAGTGGTTTTTATCTAACATTTAGCGTTTTTATCTGTAATCAGCTATTTTTTTTCGGTTTTCATTTTGGTTTTCATTTCGGTTTTGTTGCCGTTTTATTTCGTTGAGGTATGTAGCGTTAAAATGTATGTGCCTTACAGTATGTGCCTTACTGAATGTAGCGTTAAAATGTAGAAGTATTTCTTCGGGAATTCAAATCGAAAGACTATAGAATTTGCAAATGAAAAATAGCTTCAAATTCCAGATTTTGTCTTCAGCATCGTGTAACTCTTCTTGAATCTTAATTTATTATCGGCTTCAGTTCCTATCATTGAATCAGGGGCTAATTTCAGCGATGTACTTCTATTACTGTTTATTTATGTGCCAAAATTGTCATGGCTCTGAAATATATATATATTTTCATTCGACTGGCTGAAATTTTGAAGCAAACTTTTCATTCATTCGGTCGCTTTTTTGTTTTCTGCAGTTAGGAATTTGCAAAAGCTTGGAAGTAAAATTTGTTTTATCAGATGAGTTTTGAACATTCGCTTTTTAGTCAAAATCAAATTGATGCTTCGGATTTTTACGCTTGCGATTTACTGTAGTTGCTTTTTACCCGTGAGATAAGCAAGGGAATTGCAATCGGGTACTAGACGTTTTTCCCGAAAATAACTGGTTCACAGATTGGTCAAAATTAGAAATGGTTAATTTAGGTTCAATTCATAATGAATTGAATTTTCTTTGCGTCTCCGACTCACTTAGTCTGGAGGTAATGAATGCGACTGGGACGGCAAAGTTCCTGCGTTCGAATATGACAGGGCCTGTCTTTTAAACGGGAAATGGTCAGTTTCAAAAAAATTGGCGGCTTAATATTGTCTAATTATGTTTTGTCTGCGTATTTGCCATTTTGTAAAATTGTTTTTTTTTTGTAGAATTTGCCCAGTTGATTGCGGCCTGTATTTTTTTAGGCGTAATGGCCTAACTTCGAGTCGTTTCAATGGAAACATTTTTAATGCTCACCTCTGGATCGCTCAAACCGCTGAAAATTTTATAAGAATATTAGTTCAAGTTTTTTATGACCACAGTTTTTTCCCGACTTCCTTTTAGGTTTTTCCCCTTTTTCGGCATGATAGGTTTGCGAAAAAACTTTGTGTGTACGTGTCTGTGTTTTGAGGGCAAAAGAGATTTAATAACTTCTTAACACTCAATTTTTTTGGCTTTTTTTCCTTTTCTTGGGCTTAATAGGTTTCGGCATATATTATATAGACTTAGTCGCATCATATTGTTTCACTCGACGAGCAAATGAAGTTTGTAGAGTGTTTTTCTGTTTTGAGGATGAGGTGAACTTATTAACTTTTCACAAGTCTTAAGTCTTGTGGATTTTTTTTTCGGCTTAAAGGGGTTTCTGCCAAGGTATTTTTGGCATTGTTACCGCTGGGTTGATTATCTTCCGATGCTTATTTCCCATTCTATTGTCCTAGCATGTTTTTGTTTCAAATTTACCCTATTTCATATTGATAGTTCTAGTTTTTTCGAATATTTTTTGTTCAAAATATGTGGAAATACAACGATTTTTGCCTGAGGGTTACATTGCATACTGTTTCTACATTTAAAAAAAATTTTTTATACGTAAAATAATTTTACCTTTTGGATTTAGGCGGCTCGCGTTTCTCAGTAATGCATTCGAGAAATTGTGTGTAGCGTCTCTTTAATGCTCCATCAAAGAGGTTGTCGTAACATTCGTCTTCGATTTGCCGGACACTATCGTTTGTCTTTGTTTTCGAGTTTACTCGCTTTCTCATGATAGAAATTGCACACGAGTTTCAAAATTACAGCGTAGTTACGAAAAAAATCTCGAGGGAGACGCGCGCATTAAAAATAGCAATTTCCTGGTGAAAGATTGATTGGCTCCAATTGATTAATTAAGTTTCTTCCTCGTCCGATTCCCTTTGTGAAATATTCTTACGTTTCAAGGCTTGAATAGCTTGCTTAAGATATTTTTTGTCATCCGATTAGCTCCATGAAATAACTTAAATGTTCAAAGGTTTATCACTTGAAGGGCTTTAACAAAAAAAAAACTTTATTTTTTCGCCATCTGATTCCTCACGTAAAATAACTTGAAAAACTTTTCATCATTAGATTAGCCTCAAGGGTTAACTTGAAATACTTCAAAGTTACATAGTTTGAATAGTTTGCTTACAAATACTTACTTTTTGCTAATCGATTCGGTCAATGAAATTTAAAATTTTTCAAACCGATTTTCGATATGGCTTAACTTGAATAGCTGGATCAGAACAACAACCAACTTGTTGCGAGCGATTGATTGATCATTGGAAACACGCTTGCTAGTTTTGTGCAATTGAGGTGGGTTACTGTGATACTTGTAGATAATCAAGTTTTCGTGTATAAAACGTAGGAACTTCCGTACAAAAATCGGCTGACATTATCTTTGTATACCTTTAAGCTTTCAGTTTCAACAAATTTAACTATTATTTATTAAGTCTGCTTCCTGAATTTTAATTTGAACACTCCTTCAATTAACTCCATCATATGATTCAAATTAACTCATCTAGTGCTATTTCTCTGGTTGTGCCAAACATTAGTGCCAAAAGTGTCTTTGGAAAATTTTTTTTAATCGATCGTCAGAAAAAATGATGTCAAAGATTAGCAAATGGGGTTCCTTTGGGTGGTCAGCGGGTCGAATTCCTGAGGTTTTTGCTTAGGACTCGCCGCCCAAGCAGGAAGCAGCGTGTACAATGTGGAGAATAACAGGATCTCAGTTCAGCCCTCAAATGCTGCACCTCAAGGACCACCGGCTTCGTCCGAGTTTGCGACAAGTGAATTGGGAAGGGATTAGATATTGCAATTAGATGATGAACGAGATTGCAACGAGATAAAAGTGATTCTACTCTGTATATCTTGAAAACAGTTATTTTTATTTACTTCGACCTGATTTTGGTCCCTTTTATCTGTCACGTGATGCAATAAACCCCGTGATTGTTTACAAAACCCAAATACACATACATGTGCTTTCTAATCTATTCCGCTGCTTACTCTGTTTATTTTAGACGTGCTTCTACCCTTAATGTTAGTTTTAGAAAACTGACCTCAAAATTCACTACTTGCTCAAAGGAAGTTAAACGCCAAAGTTCTACAATAAAATTGTAAATTTCCAAAACGTTTTTGATTTTAATTTTCATTTTTTAGCAATTCTTCAGAATATCATTTTAGCTGTAGTTCTAGTATATATAATTTTTTATTTGGTGCTCTTTGCAGAACAAAATCTTAGCCTAACTTTGTAAGATAATCATGCACATTTTATTTTGAGCTACTGGTTCTTTAAATTAATCTTGGTTCAGTTCGTTAACTAATTGTAACACTGAATTTGCTGCACTGTTTGGGTTGTGAATTCAAAACTTTACAATTTTATTTTTGATTAATTAAATAATTTGGCTGAAAAGAAGCTTAGTGGTCTCTCTTGATATCCTTTTTCAAATTTGTTTTACATTTAATTGGGGTTTTTACCCGAGCGAGCGTATTGTTCCTTTTTTCGGGAGTGCAGCCTATATTTAGACAACCGCGTATTCATACTCGTCAGTATTTAGACAAATACTGTATGAACCAATCAGAATCGAGAACATACATAAATAATCCAAAATAAATCATAATAATTATTTATTAATTTCTTTTTGTCTCGATTCTGATTGGTTGAAACAGTACTTGTCTAAATACTGACGCGTCTGAATACGCGGTTGTCTAAATACTGCTATGTAACTAGTTTTTCGTAACCCAACCCAACTCGCATATAATAGTGCTCATTTAAATAGTTTTGTTTTGCTGCCGAGTATAGCCAATTTAATAGCATGTGTTCGATACTCTTTATTGGTGGCTACTATTTGTTTATTGCAACAGCACAGGGCGGAGGTGGGAGTACGTGAGGCTCGTATTCTCCAGGTCGATGATTTGATTCCGGCAAATGACAAGTTTTTTGATCAATAAATCTTATTTCTGCTTTTTATCTCCTTAATTTTAAGAGCTGTTTTCTCGCTTGGGTATGCGAAGTGCAGCTTCCCATCTGTTTTTTATAATGCCGGCCAGTTTCATGTTTGGTTTCCGAACCGAAATGATACAAAAATATTTAGACGAACCGGTGCAAGTGTCAGAGAATTTTCGAAATGCTAAGTTTCTAGTTCGGAGTGTTTACGAGCATAAGCTACCTGGGCTTAATTAACGTATATTCATATTTCGAGCCTGTGACCTGAATTCAGGCCTTCTGATGCTTTTTGAGGTTGTTGTGCAGCATTTCGAAGCTGTAGGTTGAGAAGTCGACTTAAGGGTGGCGCAAGATCTTATCAATTGAGATAGTCAAAATAATCTACAATTCAACTGTTGACACATGCCATTTGTGAGCGTTTTTTGGTGTTTTACCTGTGGCAAGGGTAAAATAATAGAAATTAGCTTTAAACATTTACGCAAAAATTGAACCAAGAGGCACTATGTTTTTTTATCGTATCAGCTGAAGTTATTTTTCAACAACAAATTATTATGTTAAATCGAGTAATTTACTTCATAATGAGGCGTTCAAGAGGGAAAATAGAATGGTATGCTTTTTGTTTCAGGAAGGGCGAAAAATCTTCCAAGTTAATAATTTTTATAGCTCAATTTTATCAAGACAATGATTTTGGTTTCGGCTCAAAAGGCTTCGACCCAAGTACTGTCGTCTGAATCTATTATATATTTAAATGCGGGCTTCACTATCTCGCCATGTGTAAGCTTTTTCAACGTATTATTATTGCATGTTTAAGCTATATCGTATATTGCAATGGTTAAGAATTTTTTTTTGATTTTCCAATTTGATTTTAGTGGTAATTTTGACGAGTTCAAATTAAGCAGCCCAAAATCGATTTAGGGGTTGCGAATTTGGCATCCAATTTTGAATGCCCGAATCATTTTAGTTAACGAGATAAGACGATTTTTGAGATTTTTTCAAAAATTTTCAGAAATTTCAATTAACAAAATAATTTACAAAACTTGAAAATCCCAACCCTGCAGTTGGGTACTGTCAGAGTACTATCGAGGATAAAGAATCTTGCCTCCAAATATGACTGCTCAAATCATTGTAGTTTTCGAGATATGACGTTTTTTGTGATTTTTTCAAAAATTTTCAGAAAACCTAAATTATTATGATTTTTTAAAAATATGAAATTCTCAACATTGTAGTTATTGCTGTCAGAGTACTCTAAGGACTTACAATTCTTGCCTCCAAGTTTGACTGTTCAAATCCTTGTAGTTTTCGAGATGTGACGTTTTTTGTGATTTTTTCAAAAAAATTTTCAGAAAACTTAATCTTTTTTCGCAAAATCTGAAATTCCCAACCCTGTAGTTGGGTACTGTCAGAGTTCTATCGAGGATAAAGAATCTTGCCTCCAAATATGACTGCTCAAATCATTGTAATTTTCGAGATATGACCTTTTTTGTGATTTTTTCAAAAATTTTCAGAAAACTTAAATTATGATTTTTTAAAAATCTGAAATTCTCAACCCTGTATTTATTGCTGTCAGAGTACTCTAAGGAGTTACAATTCTTGTCTCCAAATATGACTTCAAATCCTCGTAGTTTTCGAGATGTGACGTTTTTTGTGATTTTTTCAAAAAAATTTTCAGAAAACTTAATCTTTTTTCGCAAAATCTGAAATTCCCAACCCTGTAGTTGGGTATTGTCAGAGTACTCTCAAGGATTGCGAATCTTGCCTCCAAATATGACTGCTCAATTCTTTGTAGTTTTCGAGATGTGACGTTTTTTGTGATTTCTTAAAATTTTTCAGAAAGTTCAAATCAATTATTTTTCAAAATTTGAAATTCCCAACGCTATAGTTCGGTGTTGTCACGGTACTCTAAAGAGTTGCAAATCTTGCCACATGCGACTGCTCAACGCGACTGCTCAAATGCTTTTAGTTTCCGAGATGTGACTTTTTTGATTTTTTCAAAATTTCTCGAAGAACTTATCTACAAAGAAATTCAAAAAATTTGAAACTACCAACTTGATGAAGATACAACCTTTTTGTCAGCGTACACCCTGGCGTCTCAAATCTTGCCTCTTAATATGAATGCTCAAATCCTTTTAGTTTCAGGGATAAGACATTTTTTTCAATTTTTTTTCGGGAAACTTAGGTTTAAAAAAATTCACAAAATTTTGAATTCCTAACCCTATAGTAGGGTGCTCTCAGGGACTCTCAGTGGTTGCAAATCTGGCCTCCAAAGTTCTCCAGAGGCCCATTAAGTTTTCGAGATGACGCTTTTAAAATGGGAATTTAAAAAAATTAGAAAGTTCGAAATTACCAACCCTGTAATTGGGTGCAGTCAGAGTACACTAAAATTTTGCAGATGTTGTTTCCAATATATGCGGTTTTTCATGAGTTGTCGAAAAATGTCGAAGCACCGGAGGTGCGTTAAACGCTAGTTTAATTTAACAAATTAAATCAACGAAAGAAATAGTCAGCTTTGAGAATCAGACTCGAAACTTCAGTTGAGCAAATTTTAAATCTCGAAAAATTGAAATTGACTTCCAGACATTGGAATGACTTTTTTGAAGTATGCGACAGGATTTGTTCTTCAGGTTAATCTGACAATGCAGCTTATTTCAATTTCCAGAAGTAAAGGCGATCAGCACGTAGTTGTTTTGAATGTAACTTTTGTTCTAGCAGTAACCGGAATGTGTGTGCTTGGGATACATTTCGGTCATGGTACATCAAGAGTTAGGTCCCAAATGGATACGTAGTGGTAGTCGTTTTTTTTCTGACTTGATTCTTGTTAAACATCCAAAGGAAACAATACCGGCCGGTAAAAAAGATCTTCATAGTAAATTCTCTGCCCTAAGTTTGTTCACATGAAGCTCTATGATAAATCAGCAAAATACCTTGACATTTGAGGAAGTTTTTATCAGTTTTACTGCCATGGACTTCACGCTTATATGTCTGTTTTGACGGTTTGAATTCTGATGTCAATTGGAGCTCGCTTTTCAAAGTAATTCAGCTTTTGGAGCGAACACTACGCTTTCCAATAAGAATTAAATACAGAAATAACGCGTTGATCCATTGTTCTCGAAATGAGCGATGAAATTTCTTCTTTTGAACCTCGAAGTTATAAAAAAAAAACTGAATAGTAGGTCCTTTTTTTGTTTTCCTTGGTTGGACTAACGCATTTCAATTCTATGTTGGCTATTTTTTTCGTTTGTGGTTTTCGTTTTTGATTGGTGGGTTCTTTTAAGGTTTTTGTTATGGGCTTGTCACTGAGCGACAGATTTGCATCTATGCGAAAGGGGGCGCCAAAACAACACGTCACACTCGCCATTCCTCAGCCATCTAGAGGCGCAATTCATCAGCCTAATTCGCCACCGAGGAATAAGCGTGACATACGACAACAGGGACCAAATACTGACATACCTAGAGTTCCAAATGCTGCTTTGCAGAAAATCAACGAAAGAAATGGTCAGTTTTCTACTTCGCAAATGGCGCGAGCCATCGCTTTCAAAACGAAAGAATATATGGAACATTCTGCACCTGTGAAGAAGAATAAACAGAATTCTAAATCCAGATTGAACGGGTATACCATTGCCGCAATTACCCAAGCCTTAGTTGATGCAAGTTCTGGAGTCCAGATGAGTCCTAAACGCAAAGGAGACTTTCGCTCAAATCAACACTCGAAGCAAAACATACCAAGTGCAAATCAGTCAACAAATACGTCAAGTCAGAGAAAACAAGTGACGCCGAACAACAAGCCAGTGAGAGCACGACTTGGTGTTCAGGCTCGGTTAGGTAGAAAGTTACCAGAAAACGATTTGCGAGTTCAGTCAGAAAAGTTGCAGAAGAACAAGTTTAAACAAATCAATTCGGGTGGTAGCTCAAAAACTGATTTGAGTTCGCGGCTTAATCATAACCAACCACGAAATCAAAAATCGAGGAGATTTGGCCAGATTTGATAAAATGTCGACGTGGTCTGTCATTGAATGAATTCATATATCATTTTAGTGTTATTGTTTATAAAAACTTTGTCTACTGAAAAATTATGGTGTCATTATGTGTTTTTAGTGTCTGCTATCTGTCCACTTGGAACGCATAGAAGTGGAGAATTGTTGGATCATTCGTAAAATTTGATCTTGTTAACCCTACCCTTTGTGGTTCTTAGTATAGAGTTTCCATCCTTATAAGTAACAATTCAACGGTGACGGCGGAATATGAAAATAGTTATCTGGATCCGCAAAATTTTTCAAAATTCAAATCAGCGGCTGTGGTATTATATCATCGTTGTGAAGCGATTTTTTACGGCTATCGGAGTTGTTGAAATGGAATTGATTGTTGATCATATCACCCGGCAACTGACTCTGTTAATTAAATTTTGATCAAGAGAATTATGATCATGAGTACCTGGTTTTTGAGAAGAATAATGTAGCTAACGAGTTTCAGGTGCGTTGACCGAAAAAGACTTTGGACTTTGCCAACAAGTTTTTGTGAACTATACAAGACAGAGTCCTCTAAATACACCCTTCTACTTCCGTATTTCCCCATTATAAATCTTTTATGTCTGTTTAGATGGAATTAAAGAAATAAAAATGTAAGTCTTTTCAGGTTTCAAAATGGTCGCTAATTTAGTCGAAGAAAGTATTGCAAATCTTGCTGCCAATACAGACATGGCAAACACATCAACAGGTAAATCATATTTCTTCAAAAAAGCTGTTATATAATTTTATAAGGAAGTTTTGCTGGAAAAATTTCAATTTAAAAGTTAATTTAGGAACTAAAATGTCAGATGTTAAAATCGAACATTTGGACTACGGTTACATTGGGAAGTGTACAGACGTCAAGTATTTGGAAGCCATTTTGAAAGTCCTCAGATCGGGAAAAGAAGGACTCTTCCCTGACTTAATCGAGTTTGCCGAAAACAGACTTCGATTGCTGGCACCGTCAAGTAAACAGCTAAACCTACCACAACCCATCAAACAAAAGTGGGCTTTGAATAAAGATGAATTGCGAGATATTTCTGATGACTTGGAAAGTTTCGTGAGTGAAATTAAAACGGAGGAGGAATCAATAATAGTACAAAGTAATGATGGAGTTTCAAGTGAGGAAAATTCGGCGCCAGTGAGAGGAAATAATGAAGTCATTTCGCCGCATGTTAATGGCGAAAGTGTTGCACAAGCGAAGTCTGATAAAACAAGTAATGAGCAAAGAATTAAGTCTGGTGATTACAGAGCGTGGGATAAACTGAATGTAGATGAAGTGTGTGAACAAATTGACAAAACAGACGAAGAGGTCAAGAAAGTTCAACTGGAATCTGTTCGGGGTGCGAAGTTGCCCTCGGATGAAGTGAAGAAAGTGGATGTTCCTGACGTTGAAGTAGAAAAGAGAGCGAATAAGGAAAAAGAGAAGGTAACTCCTAATGTCAAATAAAGTTCGTTAGTTGCAATGGTAATGTCGAACCAATTAGAAAAGTTTTGGCAAGTTTTTTTCAGTTTTTTTAGACAAGTTAAAAAAAACAGGATATTTGATGAAAGTTATGTATAATTTGAATGTTTGTGCCTGAGTGCTTTACAAATATTTCACAAAATTTCCAAAATGATTAATAATTAAATGCGCGGTTCCACCTAAATGTGGGCTTTATTTGGTTTCAACCAATCAGGTACCAGCATTTTCATTCTTTCCCCATAGTTCGAGATGCTACTAATTGAAGTTCAGGAAAATTTAATTTAAGACAGCCATTATCATTTGCATCGAGATGCTATTAATTAAAATTCAGTAAAATTAATTATTTAAGTTTAGGACATAGCTAATATCATTTGCAAATTTGTTTTAGGGAAACGAAAGTTTCAGAGCCAATGATTTCGACGAGGCGATAGTCTACTACAGCAGGTCACTGAAGTTCTTGGAGTCAGCTGCAGTTTACAACAACAGATGTCTAGCTTATCTCAAAAAAGAAGACTTCAAATCCGCAATCATAGACGCAGAACAAGTGCTCTCAATGGACAAGGATAATCTTAAAGCTCTTCTGAGAATCAGCCAGGCTTACTTTGGCTTGAAGGAATACAACAAAGCCAGAGTTAGTATAGAGAAGGTTCTTGAGTTAGATCCCGGAAACAAAACTGCGTTGAAAACGAAAGAAGATATCAATAAAAAGTGTCCCCCGCCTGCGCCTGGAGCGAAGCGACTTCTGATTGAAGAATGCGACGAAGATGACGAAGAGGAAAGCGTGAACACAGAATCAAATCATGAACAAAATGGAGTTTGTTCCACCGAAGAACAGAAGCCAGCCAACGAAATTGAAATTGAATCTGAGAAATCTAAATTTGTTCATGCTGCAAAATCCGAAATGACTGCTGGAAATGTGAAAAGTGGTGAAAAGGCAGAAGAAAAGCCGATGGAAGTTGAAGATATTGAGGGTAAAAATGACATTTGGGGTAGTGAGGATGTTAAACAAAGCGAAGACGACGAATATTATGACTGTTCGAACAAGACACCAGCTCCATCACCACCTGTAGAAAATGCATCTAACGATACTTCTTTGAAGAGCCAAGTGTTTCAGAATGGAAGTACTAAAAAGCAACCAAAGCCAGAACCAGTGATTCCCGAAAATGTGATGTATCATAAAAATGCGGCGAACAAGTGTTACCATAGTGGCCAATATCATGAGGCTATGTTGGAGTACTCAAATGCGATTGATAAAATGACCCTGGCCGACCGTGAGGTTTTTAAAACGGCGTATGGTGCTTTGTGGGCCAATAGAGCAGCATGTCATGTCAAAATGGGAGATTTGAAACAAGCAATTGTCGATTGTGAAAAAGCGTTCGAGGCAGATTCGACAAACGCGAAAGTTTTGGTCAGACGCGCGGCTTGTTACAGAGGCATTGAGCGGTACAAAGAAGCCTATGTTGATTTGCAGAAAGCTGTGGAACTGAATTCAAGTCTGTTTTCAACAGTGCAAACTGAACTAAACAGAGTCAAACAGTGTTTGATTTCGGAAATTGGCGACAAATGGAGTGAAAAACTTCCCAAGTTCAACTGCTACGGAGTCGAATCATCGGGTGAGAAGTTTAACCGGTTAAAAAGTGAAGGTAATGATTTTGTCAAGAAGAAAGATTATGAAAGTGCCATCAAATTGTACACTGAGTGTATCGAGGCCGATAGTGAAAAACCAGTTGCGTTTGCAAATCGTGCTCAGTGTTATATGTCTCTAAATAACTTCGAACTTGCAGAAAACGACTGCAATAAAGCATTGGAGTTGCTTGAAGAAATCACGGATGACAATTTGAAGATGAAAGTTTATTACCGACGATGTATCGCACGTAAGTCGAGCGGAGTCTACAAAGGAGCGATGGATGACTTGACGAAAGTTATGAAGCTGCAGCCGAAGAATGAAGCGTATAAGAAGTTGTTTGCAGAACTGATGACGCTGCACAGAAGTCAAGCGGCTTCTGAAAAAGCGAAAGGAGATGTCAAAATTGAGCCGAAAACAGCAGAGAAATCAGGCAAGAAAGTCCAAATTGTGGAAGTTGAAGACGATGATGATGATGAGGATGAAATTTATGATCCTGACCAAGAAATGAAGTCGGTTACATCGAATCAAAAACCGGAAAGTTCTCTCAAAAGCGAACCCTCGTCTAAAGATGTCGAGATGACTGATATCTCTGAGCAGTTCAAGGCCAACGAAGCTGACGATTCTAAAAAGAAAACTGAACTCACAAACCCAAAAGCATCAAAGAGTCAAGTTGAAAAGAAACATATAGAGCCAGTTCTGAATTCTCAAACGCCCTTCGAATTTGCACAAGCGTGGCAATCGGTTAAACACTTAAATGATACAAAAGTGTACGCGAAACTATTAGACCAAGTCAGCGACTTCAGCAAAGTTATAACTTTAAAATTAGATGCTGGTATGCTGTCAACCTTATGCGAAGTTCTTGCAAAAGAGTTCCTCGATCGTCCATTGGACTGCCTGCGTCACTTCGAAAGTCTCGCCAAAGCGCAGAGGTTGAGCTTCTTAACTATGTTTTTCTCAGAAACAGACAAAGTGAATGTAAAGAATATTTTGGAAACGTTAAATGGCTTCGCAAAGACGAATCCAGAAGTTAAAGAACGTGTTTCAATAGTCAACAAGAAGTTTAAACTCTAGTTTGCAAAATTTGAAACTTTTGTCAAAGTGTCAATTAAAATTGAAGCTGTCCCATATCATTCATTGCTATCCCTTATTTTATTGAAATGCGTAAATTGCTACTTTCATTGTAAAGATTCGAATTAGGCTATTGAATGCGTTGAGACCTATTAAATTTAAGCTTGATTGTTGAAAAACGAGATGTCAATTTCTGTTTTTCTATTGAATCTGTTGGATCTCGTTGACTATCTGCCTCCCCCCCCCCCCCCCATATGGTACCTTGTAAAGACCTTCTTCCACCCTTATAAAGAAATAATGCAGTTTAAGCATATTCAGGTTTTGTATCTGTTAATTCTCTTAACGAACACCCCCCCCCCCCCTCTCCTTCCCTTTAGCAATAGGGGGATGAAGAGTTATCAAGATCCAGTTTGTTGAAAGCGAGTTCAATCTCTTATGCTCTTCTGTTTATATTGTAAAAATATGTTGATAGTGTACCAATTCAGTGTTACAATCCAACTATTTTCGATGGAGAGAGCGAACGAAGATTTAAGAGAAAAAGCGACGAAAAATATTGGGCGGTTCAAGTTAAGGAACGAGTAACCGTAGCGATTGGATCTGTTTTTTTTTGCTGATTGCATCAAAATCATTTATATTTCCGGTTTTACAATCATGTATCAGTTTGAATCTGCTTAATGGATAATTCAATCGACAATAAGTAAATCACATAAAGCCAAGTCAGCTAAGTCGGATTATTGTCTCGAGAAGCTCCATGTACATGTAGTTATCGAATTATAAAAAATATTTAATGTTATAACTCTATCTCTCTCTCTCGCGTGTGTGTGGGGGTGTGTGTGTGTGTGTGTGTGTTTGTGTTTGTTTGTGATTGAGTGTCTTTGTGCGCGTGTGTCCGGGAGTTGTGGTTTCGTTTGTTTTGGCTGAACCAAGAATACAGATTTTTTCCAGTGATAGTTGCCCATTGTGTGCAGAACACGAGCTAAAAGAATTTCAATTTGGCTGCACGTCTGCGTTAACTTCGCAGGTTTTTTCCATCAGATGGCTATTTTTATTGAAATTAAATCCTAAAATAACTCACTTAAAGTTTTGAGTTCAATAGATCAATCGAGTCATTTAGATATCTCAAAATTTTTGGCAGTGCTTCACTATTGAACTACCAAATTGTTGACTTTGAAAAGATATCAAGCAGCAACTGACGAGTTGTCATGGAGAAAAAGATATCTCAAAATTTTTGGCAGTGCTTCACTATTGAACTACCAAATTGTTGACTTTGAAAAGATATCAAGCAGCAACTGACGAGTTGTCATGGAGAAAAAGCTAGTTGAATGAAAAAAATCAATCGCTCCAAAAATAATACTCGCGGTGTGATTTCAACAAAAATTATTGGTAAACTAGGCTCTTCCATATATCAGCCCCCCCCCCCCCCCCTACCCGACCTCACCCTCGTAAACAAAAGAAAAATGCAGCCCCATCGTCAAACAAAGACATGTTTTTGCAGGGCTAGATGAGAAAGATTGGAACTTTTAAAACTTTGTCATGCTTCACTATTGAACTACCAAATTGTTGACTTTGAAAAGATATCAAGCAGCAACTGACGAGTTGTCATGGAGAAAAAGATATCTCAAAATTTTTGGCAGTGCTTCACTATTGAACTACCAAATTGTTGACTTTGAAAAGATATCAAGCAGCAACTGACGAGTTGTCATGGAGAAAAAGCTAGTTGAATGAAAAAAATCAATCGCTCCAAAAATAATACTCGCGGTGTGATTTCAACAAAAATTATTGGGAAACTAGGCTCTTCCATATATCAGCCCCTCCCCCTACCCGACCTCACCCTCGTAAACAAAAGAAAAATGCAGCCCCATCGTCAAACAAAGACATGTTTTTGCAGGGCTAGATGGGAAAGATTGGAACTTTTAAAACTTTTGTTTTGTTTTAGTGGTCAGAACTTTCTGTCCTCCTTACACAGCAACTAGGTATCCTGGCTTTCTCCTAAAATTCTTTTATCCAGTTTTAGTTTTTATTGATGTTCCGACCAATTGAAAATGTGAGGTTTGTTTTTTTTTTTCAGTTAATTTTGACTACCTTAAAGTAAGCTCCTTGGGGATCATATCTAGAGTCTTATTAAAGCTCTTCCAGCCGTGACTGGGGTTCTTTAAAGTATTCTTTAAAAATTGTCTCCGTTGAGAAAAACTGGCCTTAATTTCCTAGCTTTTCACACTAATAACTTTTCAGACTGAATTCCCAATCTAAATCTTTTTCTTAGCATTTTATCGATTCTTACGTGGTTTTTTTTAGCTCACAAACCAATGCTATTTTTTCCTCACTTACTAATAGTTAACTAGATTTTTTCGAAAATGATCATTATTTTTCTAATTTTCCCTAGTTTTTAATTTAGAAAAGTTTGTTTGGTCTCATGATTCGGTAACACTTGCACAGTAATTGGCTATTCTTTTTTCGTTATGCTAATTGATCAGTGCTATTTAAACAAACAAGGAAGAAATTGCACTTACAATTTTGTGCCAAATTACAGTTAAGCGGCCAAGTTTAGTGAAATGATTCTTTTTGCACAAATTTCTGAATTGTGATTGATTGGCTGCGTACTAAATAAGCCAGAAAAGAATCGATTGATCTGTTTCTGCCCGTAGAGAGGTGCTGGGTGACCGTTTGCATGACCCCTTTATGTTGTACTACTAGTCGAGGTAGTTTCTCACACCAGAAGAACCAAATACCTAAAAATTGTGCCAATCAGAATTACGTAATCGAAATACTGAAGCAAGTAAGATGGAAAATCAGTCAGTTATTGACAGTTTAACTTGTTGATTAATGAAGTTTTTTGCGCAATCGGCCCTTCTATCAAGACAAAAGCATTCGTATCAGTTGTTTTTCCGAATAGAAAATGCCCATTTCTGTTCAGTTTTTGTGTATAGATAGTTTGATTGGCAATTTAGAAAAACATAAGCTGAGATCGGCTATATTAAAATTTATTAATTTTTCCTTAAATTTATTGAAATATTCTTCCCGCGCTTAAGTGCTCCGCCAAAATACTTCTGTGAATAATAGAAAATCGCAATTTAAGTTGTTTCACGACAGATTTTTTGGATTTTTAATAAAAACCCATTATTCCATTTTTTTTCAGCATTTGTGTTGTTGTTTTCTTACTTCATTTTGCCGACCTAAATCTGGATCATCCGCACAATCTTATCCGTTAAGTGACTAGCCGTAGATTTTTAAAAATTGGTTCCTTTATGGGTTTCACACAAGCGCGCAAAATCTGTTGATTGACAAGTTGTCTCTTACAAAATAGCCACCTAAAATTTATATTTTATTATGGTATTACCCTAAAACTATTCACGATAAGTTTTTTAAAATTTCGATCAATTTATTTTTGCCATTTTTAAAATTTTTTTTTGAAAAACGTATTTTTTTGTAGTTCATAATCGATTTTTCGGGAATTTTGGGGTTATATGGTTGATCCCCATTTTGAAATGGATCAAAGTTTGAACCGTTTGAGTTATTATTTAATTAATCAATTTTACGAAGAAACTGTTGCTGGAAGTTTTTAAATGGCATTGCTTCTTCTTTACTAAGATATTCGAATATATTTTTTTGTTTATTAATAATACCTTTTTTTCACATTGGATGTAGTACGTTTTTTTTCGTCACATTTTATACGACCATTCTCTCCTATAAGCAAGGATGTTCGCACTAAAATTTCTCATATACAGACAAGGATAGTCGGTTGTTCTGCAAGTAGCTCAGAATGTATCAGCCACTTCTTTCATGAAAGAGAACAAACATATTTTTCATTTTTTAAAAATCAAATTAGTCGTTTTTTTTGCAGAATAGTCTTTTATTTTTTAAAAGTTTTTATCACCAAGGAAGCACAAATGAAGCTACAAAACTAGTTTTTTTGTAGTAAAGTAATTTTGTCACTGTTTAAATTGAAACTTCTAGTCTAAACATTACGAGGCCAAACTGTGCACTGAATAGGCTCATAATTTTGTTCCAGGATTCCAGAGACAAGTCTTTGAACATGATAAAAATTTGTCGGAACGAGCAAAGAAAATGAAAGAACAAAGGGAGCGTCCTTGTTGCGAAATCCGCTTACAATGCACAGTTTGGCCTCGTAATGAACCTAAGCAAGACCTACTCGCTCGCTTTACTTTCTCGAAACTGGACTGAAACTAAAAAAATCAAACCGGTTTTTCTCAATACTAGGACAGTTTTTGAAAATTTCTCGTTGGAATCAATACTGAAAGAGCTTTACAAGGATATGTCTTTCGACACATTTCGATAATTTTTTATGGTACTTCACTTTGCGTGGAATCAAGTTATTCATTTGAGCGTTTTTTGGAGGAAATTTGACAATTATAAATTTCAATTTTTGGCCCAAGCTTCTCTCAAAATAAACGTATATTAGCGGTTACTGAAAAAAGAAGGGTTGGTAAACCTCTAATTCAGACCTTAAAATATCATAAACGGATAAACAGAACTTTTAGAAAATAGAAAATGTCACCGAAAGAAAATTTTTGCAACCGGGAAATTTTGAGGGATATATTTCTTACTTATACCTCTACATACATTTCAAAATTGAATCTATGTCATTTAGAAACGCTTAGCTGATATCATCACTTGAATTATCTTGCAAAAAAACTAGGAAAGATAAGCGAGAAGAACCAGATCTCAGCTTAAATAAGTGAGCTGTTTAGTTTTAACCAGTCGCTTATAACTATCTTGTAACTATTTTTTTTATAAGACATCGATCGATTTTAATTGACAAAAAAATGGTTTTCCTTTTTCATTTAAGAGGGGTATAACCGAAAAGACTCAAAGAGGGTCGTCTAGGTTGCGTGGAAATAAGTAGGTTTGCTTTAAAGTTAAAGGATGAGTTGAAATCAATAGTGTTCGTAGCTAATATAGCTTTAAATAATTTGATCGGACAACGTCTGAACTTTTGAAAAAATTCTGACCTTCAAGCTAAAACTTATTAGAAATAGTCTTTAACTTTCGCGTTTGCCTTTTTTCGGCGTTTCATGTGTTCTTTGCTTTGAAAAAATTGCATGTCAGATTGCTTGCAAACCAGGTTGCTGCTGAATAAAAATATTTTGATTATTCGAAAATTCTTTTCTGAAAAAGGCAGTCGGTTTGCTCTTTTGACAGTTCAAATGCAACTTCGATT